ACTTTATCCATAATTGACAATGTACGTGACGCTAGGGTGGTGAAAAGTTGAGATCGTGAAAAATTATATCCATAGAAAATATGTACATGACGTTGACATAATGGTGAATAGTTTCTGTGATTTGGTATTTAAAGAGTCAATGCCCCTTTTCCCAGAGAAGGCATATTTATTTATTTATTTAGGCATGCATGCATGCATGTTCACAATTTCACAATTTATTGAAGTTAACATCACATGAAAAATGAATATAAAATAATATAACAATTCATTTCAATTTTAAAATCCATTTGAATTGACTTCACATGAAAAAGAATATAACAATGATTTATCATAGACACGTTGCAACTTATATACAGTTTTAAGAAAGAACACCTAAAGGTGATGAAACATAAGCAAATAGAGCTTGAATCGTGTACCACCTTTCAAATATATAACATATGACAAATAACATTTATGCATGACTTATAATTATGGTGCGGGGATATATTGCAATTCAAAAGAAGATAATAACTTTTTAATTTCTAACATACATGAGGTGAGGTCTTAGTATAATTCTTTGATTTGCCCCTAAGTACTGCGCTTTACCCCCCCCCCCCCCCCCCCCCCCATCATCTACTCTCATTATATCCGACCACCATGCCTATTTTAATTGGTAGCCAGCCATCGTTGCACTGATCATGCCTGACGGATACAATGCACAAAGAATACATTGCGTGTGTGTAGTATAGCGGTTGTATGTGTACAATGCGATCCTTACACTTATCAAATTGGCAATTTTTACACATTGGATGGGCTACCTTCATCTCCGATTAGGTGTGTGAAGAAAAGCTTCACCCCTCTGGAGCTCCGACGTCTTCGGCATCGGAGCTCCCTGGAGTTAGGCCATAGACTGACTATCGTATGCACACGTGGACTGCAACACACACACGCACAGGCTCTCATTCTCAACAAACGGTATTTACTCACATCTGCGATCATTTTACAACTCTTCGTCTTGGACGGAGCAATCTGTAAAAAGAGCTGGAAAACGAGTTCCTCTGTAACCCGACGATCCAAGTTCCCAACATACCTGTCAATAAAAGTGCAAATAATATACGATAAATATGGCATTAAAAAACAGCCTTAAAGTCAAACAAAATTAACAACCAAGATTGCATCGCACGCATATCGCATTGCAGTACAATACCGGTACGTATGCATGTACACACACAGGCTACAGGCACAGCTCTAAAGACTAAACGGAACGGAATCAAGTGTCAATTTTACTCACAATGTTCTTGGTTGGGCGTCTTCTTCGCACATCTGAAAGATAATGAGAGACAAGAAAATACACGTTAACTCATGTTATATCTTTTTTCAGTCCATTGGGGGAAATATCAACAAATTATGAGTTATTTTACTTACCATCCGAAAATACGGATCCATGCCCATACCGCCGTCCATGACGTTCATCTTTGCTGATGAATCGATCACCACGGTTGGGTTGATTAGACTCAAATGGGAGTCGTCTAAGTTGATTTTAACCGTTATATTTTTTCCTGTTTTATTTCGTGCACGTCGATTGAGCTGAGCCATTGGACACGGTCTTGTGTCCGAATACGAGAAACGACTGACTGCTGGTGAAGAGACTAAAGTACCAATCTCGACGAGGATCTCGTTAAGCTTTTCGAACCACTCTTTCGAGAAAATCATAATCATATCATGGCCTTCGGCTAGGCGTATCCGCAGGGTGGGAGCATATTATCTCGAGATGTGCTGAGAAACAAAAATCAATGAAATTGTAAACAAAAACAAACAAACAAAAATGAATAGATAATTACGTTGATTTATATATTGATAGTCAAATAAATGAAAAATTGAAAAATGATTCAAATAAATAAATCAATTGAATAAATGAATAAATATGAATTGTATGGATATACTATTTATTCAATTTCAGAGGCTTCGTTTGTTTGCTTGTTTGTTTTTTGTTCTTGGTAAAAAAAAAAAATAGGCCTATACTGTGAAGGGAAATAGGTTATCAGCTTAGGTTCATGGTGGGAGGGGGCAACCAGGGGCGGATCCAACTGGCGGCGAAACAGGCAGCCGGTGAATAAGCGGGGGTAATGGGCACTAATTTTGTTTTGCCCCGAAAATTTGAAAATCGCACCCTCCCCCCCCCCCCCCCTGACCACCAGGGGAGGGGGCCCGTCTTAACTTGTTAACAAATAAAGGTAAAATTAACGTGTTTTTACCTGTTTTTCCCCAGGGGACAAGAGACGATTACAATAAAACTTATAGACTAACGGCCCAGGGCGGCGATTTCTATTAATGACCGGGGGGGGAGGAGGGACGACATGCGATATTTACTAGTACATTCTGAAGGATGTTATGCGAGAGAGCGTAGCGACCGAGCAAGAAGATTTTTGCATTTTTATTAGTCTAAACGCTGCGCTATACTGGGCTCTCCAGAACCTAAATATGTGTTGCAGTATTTGCTATATATTTTTTGAGCACTGTCTTTTTCAAGAGCACATTTTTTTATTTTTTTTTATTTTCATATTAAAAAAAAAATGAGGGGGGGGGTCTATCAAAAGTCACTCACATAAACAAAAATGAGAGGGGGGATTTTTCTCGAAATTTTCAGGTGTTTGCATGGCAATCTCCCGGAAATTTCGGAAATAAAAAAAACGGGACCCATGTTTAGGGATTTGTTGTGAAAAAGTGACCCATTAGAGCGGCACACCCCCGTTTTTCTAAATACATTATGGGAGTACAAGCCCCCCCCCCCCCCGCCCCCGGGGGGCTGGGCAATCATGATTGTATTTGAAATAAAGAATCCCATTTTACATTAAGTACCTTGACCTTGTCGGAATAAATAGATTAAAGGTATTACAAAGTTTTGGTATGGGGTCATGAATTTGGTTCAAATTAACATATTGGAAGCATATGCGTTCCTACAATATTCAGTGATCGTTGTAGCGGTTGAAATCGAGTCTCAAGTTGTGAAATTATAAATAATAAACTCTTTATGTTGTATAGCTCCCTCTCAAGGTCAAGATATTAATTTAGCTATGAAACAATATTTCTTGACTAAAATCGACCGATTAGCTATTCCCGTTTGGAAATTTTATATCACAAATACATATTCTGAGATTTTCATGGTCGCAGCTACCATTGTACGGCCATATGCGTTATTTGAAATTTATCAAGATTTACCGGGAGCACCGGTAAATTTTTATATTCAATTTTTCTCGAAAACAGAAATGTTTTAGGGGCTAATTTTTTTAGTGCTTATAATACATCCACAAGGGCATCCAAATACGTCAAAATTGTAAAGATTCACTATCCACCCAATTTTCAAAATTTCCCAAAACTTTGTATTACCTTTGATAGAGAAATAGATAAGTTAATAGAGCTCTATATGCAGGGGCGTCGCTAGACCTTTTTTCAGTGGGGGGGGGGGGGGGTGTAGGGGCCACCGAATACCGACAAAAACTAGCCACCAATTACCGACAAATATATTAATGCAAATGTCCCCCAATGTCTACACATTTACCCTATAAATCCGGGGCTTGGAGCTAAATTATATGTCAGCCCCCCCCCCCTCCCGCGCAAAGCTCGGAAGCTTTGACGTTTCATTTAATTATTAGAGAAAAAAAGACGATTCGTTGTTTTATTTTCGACTCTTAATCCTTGTCTGGTTTCAGTTTTACCCCTCCCGCGCGAAGCGCGGAAGCTTTGATGTTTAATTCAATTATTACTCTCAATCCTTGTCTGAATTCAGATTCCCCCTCCCCCGCGAAGCGCAGAAGCTATGACGTTCCATTAAATTATTAGAGAAAGAAGATGATTTGTTGAACTGTTTTCGGCTCTTAGTCCTTGTCTGAATTCAGTTTCCCCCTTTGAAGATTCATTTGATCATTAGAGAAAGAAGACGATTCGTACTGTTTTCGACTCTTAATCCTTGTGTGAATTCGGTTTCTCCCCCGGTTACTCCCACCCCTCTTCTCTCAGGCTCTTATCCCCCCCCCCCTCTCTCTCTCTCTCTTTCATCCTCCCTTTCTTTTGTTTCATTTTCTCTTTTTTTCCCCTTCTTTTTTCCCCTTTTCCTTTCTTTTCTCTCCTTCTTCTTTTCTTTTTTTCTTTTCTTTCCCTTTCCCTCTCATTTTTTCCCGACCGCAGCGCAATCCTGGCTCTATATTCAAGTTCGCGTGTCTTTGGTGATTCTTCTCGGGAAAGCAGACCAGCAAGGTGCAATATTAAGCCCCTATTAGAATATTTTCTATTTTCTTTAAATACGAGAGAGATACTGTATAGTTATGATAGGCCTATTTCATATGGCCTATTTCAAATGAAATAGGACAGTAATACTCTATAAATATGAATAATGAATAAATCTGTATGAATAGGATTTCAGCCCTGGAGAACGGGAAGACAATATTGTAACGTGTATCAAAATGACAAATAATTGTAAGTACAATATCATGGAGTGAGATAGAATTGGCATCCCATTTCTTCAAATAAACCAGTACAGTAGGCATTTGAAAAATCGCACCCCCACCCCCTGGCGCCCAAGTGGGGGGGGGGGGGGGGGGGGGGGGGGGTCATCTCCAAAAAAAGGTAAAATTAACGTGTAAAATTAAAGTGTTTTTTTCAATGGGGGGGGGGGGGGCGGCCGGATCCGCCACTGTTTGCTCTAATTAAATTACCGGTAGAGTATAGTAATGAGCGATTTTTTTAAATTTCATATGAAGTGATAAGAGGGGGCTCAAACGGCTCAAGCATCCCCCAAGCCTATCTTAGATAAGGGGAGTCCCCGAAACAAATCGTATGAAACCTGTTTTTAACATTGATGTATCCAAACAATATCACTCGAAAGCCTATATACTTAGAGAGAATTGCTGCGCTTTTCCTCCGAGGTTGATGATTTATGAATGACATTCATTATTCACCCGCTCGAGCTCGTTACGTAGAGAGAGAGCTAGCTGGATTAGAAGCGAAGTATTGTGTTTAGTGCGCATGCGTCATCTATAATCGACACCAACCTCGACCATGGCTGCTCAGGAAATCGACGCTGATTCTGGATCTGAATTCGATGATGATTTGGCTTTGCAGTTCTATCGAGATCGCCCCGAGTGGAATGACATTATACCAATTCCTCAAGATGATGGGCCTAATCCTGTAGTCCGAATTGCGTACTCTGAAAGATGTAGGTACCTGTCTAAATTTGTAATTTCGTCGATTTTTGTTTGTCTTTGGTCCCATATGCTAGAAATCGTGACATGCTTAGTCGCACCGTCTAGTTGACAATGCAATGAAGTGAAGAAGAGGCATCATTCATCTGTACCATGTTTACTAAAACTATAAAAGTCAAATCAGCAATTTAAATTAATTAAACACTATGCATGAACAGGAAATACATGAAATGTTTTCACTCAAATTATTCTCGGACAGTTTGGTTCGGTGGATAAAATGATGATGTTGGGTTTGAAACTGTCTTGAATTTTTTTGGGTAAAATTAAACTAAATTTTAAAAATTAAAGTTAAACGAATATACTTGATTTTTGAATCAACGTTTTGTATCTATATAATTCATATTTACTTATTAGTCTTATAAGTTTAGAGTATATTGTATCGGCCCGGCCAATAATGGCAATATGGGAGACTCTCTTAGTCTTATTATTGGGAAGACTAGACTGTCTGTAAGAGTAGACTAAATCAGAGACATTTGTCAAGAGACAAGATGTTTGCTTTTTGTGTATCCTTAGGGAGGTTGAGGTACTCAATTTGTGTTTGATCAATCACAACCTTCCAATTTTTGTATAGCTTTTGTATCCTTCATTATATTTTCTCAAGCTTTCAATTTCACTCATCTGCATCTCTCATGTGATTTTCACTGGCAATCAGCTAGTTAAGTTAGAGCTTATGATTTAAATACCTAGTTCTTTGAGCTCATGATTTAAATATTGTGTGATTGAATTACAGTTCAGGATGTGTTTGACTATTTGCGAGCCGTACTGAAAGCAGATGAACGCAGTGAGAGGGCGCTAGATCTCACCAAGGATGCTGTGGAGCTCAACGCTGCTAATTATACTGTCTGGTAAGAATATGTTGATCAGTAACAAGAATTTCTATTGTTTGATACTTTATTGTGTCCAACTCTCTGTATTGTACTCCATAGTAGTTTGTTGTGAAAGACACTGAGACATGTTAAAAGGCATCTCCAGGAAAGTGTTCTTTATTTGCAGATAGTCTTTGTTCACGGGCAAGGTACAGGTTTTAAAGTTTTAATAACAAGGATTATTGCATTTATTAAAAAAATTATCGACATGATGTTGCACTAGTCTGAAACAGTTTACTTTCATTACTGGATTTCTAATTGTTTACTCAATTTTATTACAGCTTTTATAAACATCATTTGAGACTCTCATTTTACTATCTTCTTCTTTTTACTGGTATTCTTTTTACCATATCAGTTGAATTACTGAATGTATTAATTTCATATTTTCCTATTTTATATGTTGCAGTTATATTTGTAGATTCAAGATGTGTCAGCTTTTAGCTGTGACTTTAATTTTTTGTAAATAAATGTTATTCATTCAATTAAAGGGCAGGTCCAAGCTATTTGGATTGTGACGTAGGGGACATTCAGAGACTTTAAACAAGAAATAACAAATTGATGAAATTATTTATATGGCTATCTTTTGGTACGAGTCTGGGGCTATTATGGGCTAGTTCATTTGTGGAAAGTTTTAGTTCTGACCAACTCTTTAATTAATTACATTAAAAATTAATTATGTCCTTTTGATATATCATTTTGATATAAAAAATATCATTCTACTATTGATTGTTTAGGATTTACTACTCAAACAGGTGTACTGTAAGAAGAATGTCTGGATCGTCTAATTTTAATTTCTGAAATATGGTTATAATCAAACCAGATGAACCAAATAAAGGGTATATATATATCTGATAAATGGAATTAAGAGGTTATTGTCCAGAATATTTGTTGATACCAAGTTATACCAACATATTCTCAACAAACTAACAAGTCTAATCCATGATTCCCGACTCCATTTCTCTTTCAGGCACTACAGGAGAGTGCTATTACAAGCACTAAAGAAGGATTTACGGGAAGAAATGAGATACATCTCAGAAATAATTCAAGATCATCCCAAGAATTATCAAGTTTGGTAAAGCAATGTTTCCTTATTTTGCTGGTATTTTTGTATCATGATAAATGCAAACATGAACATTTGAAGTAAACTACAGTGTTGATTGTAGATGCAAGAAAAAAGTTTTATTTTTTAATTTAATCAATGCCGCACATAGAACATCCCCATAAAATTCATTTAAATTTGATTTGATGTAAGAATCTTTCTTTTTGAGGGCATTTAATGCAGGAGCAATAGATCCCCTTAATTTTTATTCTCACATGAACAAATCACTTGGAAACACTGCACTCAAGCAATTATTGTGCTTCATATATCTATATCTTATACCACACAGATAAGTGAATATGCTTATAGTCCTTTGTTCAACCCACTTGCCAAGTATTTACATGTCAATGTTTTTATTTTGCCTTCTCTTTTCTTTTTTTCTTCTTTTTTTCTTCTTTTTCTTCTTCCTCTTTTAATTTTTTTTCCTTTGTTTCCTTCTTGTACTTGTAGTTCTTCTTCTATTTCTTCTTTTATTCTTCTTTTATTCTTCTTTTTTTCTTCTTTTATTCTTATTTTTCTGCAGTTTATGACGTTATGTTTGAATGAGGCTTGACTGAAGTCATTTCCACATTTGTTTTTAATACAGGCATCACAGGAGAGCTATTGTTGAATGGCTCAAGGATCCATCAAATGAGTTGAACTTTACTGAATCCATCCTGGAGAAAGATTCCAAGAACTACCATGCATGGTCTCATCGTCAGTGGGTCTTACAAACATTCAAACTATGGGATGGTGAGCTAGACTATGTACATAAACTCCTCCTGGAAGATCTTAGGAACAATTCAGCTTGGAATCAGAGATACTTTGTCATGAGTAATACAACAGGCTTCAGTGATGAGAGTGTAGTAGACAGAGAAGTCAAGTAAGTTTAGAATATATATCCTTTATTTATTGTGATTGTTGAACATGGATTATTTTAGAATCCTTAACATTCTTTTAAAATTTCTTTTGGGAAACAATGAATTTAGATTCTGAAACAAATCCTGGATTTAGCTCATGCTGCAATCTTAATTATTAACCTTTAGGTCAGTCAGGAATCCCATGATTTTTACAAGCCGATCACCTGTCTGATTATCAAGATATTTATGGTTGGAAATCAAAAATTCATTTTTTGTTTTTATAACACTACAGTCTATTGGGGAAAATGAGTATGGTAAAACCGGTCACTTAAAGATTTTTACTTTTTTGAGGCACTTCAGGATCATTTTGAAGCGCATTTTTGTAGGGCTTCAATATTGCACCATATCACAGACACGGTGCCTTTAGGTTTGTTCACATATTTGCTTATTTTTATCCCCATTTGCTATCTATGTATTACACACACCATAAAAGAAAACACTGCATCATATGAGAACTTGCCTTCACAGTTTGCTATTGATCATAGATTCACATTTTATTCCAGCTTACTAGATACCATAACATTAGGAGGTCACCAAACGATGGGAATTTTGTCCTGATTCATTCTAAGTAGATAAGCAATGGATACCAAACGACACATAATACCTTTTCTCCCTCCATTCTGACTGCTGTAGGTATGCAATAGAGTTCATCAAGAAGGCCCCCAACAATGAGAGTTCATGGAGCTATCTCAGAGGGTAAGACACTCATCACATAAACTTTTAGTTTCTTTTTAGTTGAGGTTATCCAGTTCATGTATCAAATTTATAAAGAATCAGACAGTAAAGTTATAATGCTGTGATTGTTACTTCTGTATTTTTGTTTTTGTCAGGGGAAAGGGGGAAGGAAAAAAAAAAAAATTCTTCCTGTGTTTATCTTACCCATGTTTCCAGGTGGGAGAAGAGTTTTTTTTAAATTCCATTTGTTCATTTTGAGCATTCATTGATGCTTGATCACAAAGGAGAATTATTAGATGTGACTGATTTTCCATTTAAAAAGTATGACATGTGGAATTAATATTTGTTTATAGCTATTAAAGATGCTGTCTTACAATTCAAAACGGAATCACCATTCTCTTAAAATTTGATAGAGATGTTTGGCTTTTTTACATGCTATTTCGAAAAGTTGAAAAAGTAAATTTACAGTAAATTGAAGTACTGTAAACCTCATTTTTGTTTGAAATGATGCTTATTGTATAGTATTTTCAATTTACCTCTGTCAGATATTTATGATTTGTCTGATTTTTTTCTTCTTTTTTCTTCAGTGTTTTAGCTCTGAGAGACATTTCTAGTTTTCCTGGCTTGATGCAAACCTGTCAGGATATGTACAGTGAGAACGTCAGATCTCCATTTCTACTATCCTTCATTATTGACATATATGAAGAACAGTTAGAGTCCAAAACCTTTCCAGAAGATACACTACTTAAAGCTACTCAGGTAAGTTCAAACTGTTTGACTGAGTTCTTGTTTGTGATAGTATTGAAAGTAATCATGTTGCACTTGGAGCCCAAGGGAATAAGTATTTTCTGCACTTTGAGTGGGGGGGGGGGGGGGGGGGGGGGACTAATAAAGCACTTGAACACTCCCCCAGGTGTCCATTTTTGGAGTGATCCAATTCTATGAAGAGCACATGATAGAAATGTAATAAATTGGTAACTAAGCAAGTACATACAGTCAAACCTGTCTATAACACCAAAGGGAAACACAAAAAGTGGTCATTGTAGACAGGTTCTTGTAGTACATGTTTCAATGAGAAACTATTTTAAAGGGTAACAAAAAAAGTGGTCTTTGTAGACAGGTGGTCACTAAAGCAGGTTTGTCTGTACATGTAATGTATTCATCTGGTTGCAGCATATCTGTATCTTCACTTGACTGAGATGCAAAGTTTCTGAGTTTGGCCTGCGCGTGGCTTCCAGTTACCCTTTAAAAAGTTTTTAATTTACATTGTCATTCACCATCCTCCAGCTACGTTTACCATCATGAGAGTTGAGAAAAGGGTAACTTTGAGTACTTTGGGTGCAAAATTCTAGTAGTACAGTAGGAGAGTTTCCCTGTATGATAGCATAGTCAATTGATTTTCAATATCAATTGGGATTCTGACTTTCAAAATATAATCACTTTTTTGTCTCATTTTTCTTTAAGATGCACTAATTTTACCTCCTGATGTCTCTGCTTGTACCCAAGCCTATGTTCTTTTAATTCCTTCTGCATTATATTGAACTTCATTCTTTTTCCTTGTAATAATTCTTGCCATTGTATTTTCAGCTATGCGATGTCTTGATCCAAGTGGATGCTATCAGATTGAAATACTGGGAATACATCAAAAGATCTCTCACTCTTCGCTTTGGAAAACAAGGAGAAGCATGATTTTTGTGTACAGTAAAGAAATCACACAAGTGTTGCTCTTAAGAAACATGGAGATTCTGTATATGTTTTAAAATGTGCTTTATTTTTCTTGAGTCTACATGATAGTGGAGAATGGAGAAGTGGAATCTAAACCAAGGCTAATTTATTATGTTATCAATCGATCTCTTTATTAAAGAGCCTACCATACTCTGCCATTCCTCTGTTATGATATATTATCATCAGTATGAATGATCTTCTCCATGTTGATCTTATGCCCATGTCACTGTTAAGGTTCATTAAGACACAAGGGGTAAACCTCTGTGAATACTACTGTGGCTAATGTATGTATTATGAGCTTGGTGCACTTCACATTCCTGTATGTTATACAAGCTATGTGTTATCCCTCTTCCTATCCATTGTTTCCTCTTGCCATTCATGTCCATGCAAAGCTTTGCTTTTTCAATGTTTTGAGGATGTTTTAGGACATTATGTCTGGACAGGGCTTTATGAAACAATGCAGTCTACTTCCATGGAGAGGTTTCATAAGCCTCCTAGAGTGTGATGAATGTGATTGGTGAAATGTAGTTTTCACTTGTCAATGAAAGAGTATACTGCATTTATATAATAAAAAGCTTACCGTGCTCTGTCACGGTGCTCCTGTTGGTATGTCAAGTAAATCACATTTTGTCATGAAGATGCACATGTGTACGGTGCATTAGTTTCTGTGAAAAATGTTGGAATTAGATTGCCTTTATAATACTTTGGAGGACATGAATCCCCCCAAAAGCAATTTAACTTGGTTTAGATCTAGCAGTTGTCATATTCTATCAAACTGCTGAAGATACATTTTTCACATGAGCCATAAATGATGAAGCATGAACATGTGTCGTGTTTATGACATAAGCAAATCTCCATGACATGATTTTTATGTTGGTCAGTTATGAGATACATGTACCATGTGGAGTGTCTTGGGTATTTGAAGTGAAACAGCAGGTAGAATGTGAAAAGCCAAATTAATTTTCTGATGTGATCCGACATTTACGTTTTGTTTCAAGCTTTTACTTCATCAAAAATTGGATAGCAATACGAGTTTTGGATTAGTTTTGGGATAATTGTAAGGTTTAATGTTGGTTGACTGCGGAGCATCTGTTGGTTGCCAGTGCATGTGTGGTATAATTAATATGTAACTAAACTAGATGAGAATTACTCATCAGCCAACCCTTGTGCTACATAGATGTAGATTTGAATGCATAGTGAATTGTTGATCATTCAGAATATAGAATCCTAATTTTGCTAAGCAAAGGATTTACATTAGAGAAACTTAAACAAAGTTTGCTGATACACAATATACTGAAATGCAGCAATGTGTATATGCAAATATTGGACATTCTAATGTAGTGTAGTTTAGTGTCATTATATTTCTGACTATCTCATCTTACATGGCTTAACACTTTATAGCTTTTGTACATACATGTATATATTGTTTCAAAGATATCTTGCAGATTTGATTGTTTTTGTCATTTTTTTACGCTTGATGTAAATTTCATTTGCTTCTTTAACAATTTGATTTGTTTTGATCAGAAGTCTTCACCACCACTACCAGTAATCAGAACCATTTGAAAGTGGTAGAATGCAGAAAATCTCACATTTCTTCATAAATGTTGTAAAATTCATTAACAAAAAATACCCAATGCCCCAAGATTTAATCTTAATGGGGTGTCTAACTGTATACAGCTGTTTTCCCCTTGCTGATGATAGAAAATGCATTGTGTAAGGACTTGTAAGTCAGGCATTTCATGTGATAGATCCTCAATCATCTCCCAAAAGTTCAAAACTCATAACATTGAATAAGGACCGGCTAGGCCCCGTCTTATAGAGAGTTGCAATTATCCAAATCAATTGCAAGTCCACTAATAAATCACAATGTTGCAGTCCTCTATCCGTACATATAAATGATTTATACCAATCGGAAATAAGCTGCAATTGATATCAACTCTTTATATGACAGGGCCCTGGCTTTCTCATTAATACTTGGTCATCACCAGTTGTATACATTAAATGATCATGCAAATTCACAATGCTTGTATTGTGGACATAGTGGATGTTCATGTAATTAATACATGTATTTTGCTCTATTGTAAATCTGTGATAAAATCATTTTCTTTGCAAAAGTATTTACATAATGTGGCTGTGTTGTTGATCTTTAATGGATGAAATGTGATTAAACAAGGCTACAAACATCATTTTACATACATGTGTGTGTTTGTGTTTTGATGCTTTTCATTCTAGTCTATGGTGTCTGGCAGAGTGGGACAAGGCCCCTCATACGTAATGTAGTTCATCCAGGGTGGTATTCAGAATAACTATGTTATACATGATGATGATAGTGAGATGTATCTTAAAGGTAAAGACCAGTTTTGGAAACGCCCCCCTCTCAAAAAATGTAATGGAAGCTCTTGGTGAAAGAATATGTTTTGACCAATACGTGATCATACAAATTTTGCCTAGAAACTGCCTACTAATTGATTATTTGGTAAATTATTATACCGGTATCTATTTGGACCTGATAGATATAACGCACATGTCGTGCAAGTGTGCGTAGTTCCATATACATCTTTTTGTCTACAGTGCTTGTAACTTTACCAAGACTGGGCCAAATTTTTTATCATTCCAGAACCTTGCAGTACACACCAATACTTATATGCTAGATAATCAACCCTTTCTGATCGATTCCACAATGTTTCTTTCACGATGCAATCGCATGACCTTAACTGGTCTTTATCTTTAATTGCCATGAGAAATTTGAATTGAGCAGAATCAACACTTCTTGGTGTCTACACACGACTTGGTCATATGCATTACGCTGCAGACATTAACCAACTTGTCCAGATTTGTTTTATGTATAGACAGTAGGAAATGGCAGGATTTTGAATCACATGAGGCTGACAATTCTTGTTTGTATTACATTTGTCAATATTGATTAGAACTGGAAATTCATGTATGATGTACACTGTAATTCAACATCAATTTAATGGGAAATTGGATGACCGTTTACAGCAATGAACCAGAAAACACTCCTAAAGTACAGCTAAGTACCTTCATTCTTAAGAATAACGGGTTACATACGACATAGAAACTAATCCAGTATTACAGGACAAACAATAACAAGACACCTCACACAACCTTTCATGTAGATCTTGCAAATGCATTGAAATTTTATTATCATCTTTCAAGCTTTCCTTTCATACAAAAAGCAAATACATAGCTATGCAAAGAAATCTTGGAAACATTGTGATAAAAGGAACAAGGTAATAAGGGGATCTCCCAACCACCAATATAAAGGGTTTCTATGATCATATAACTATCCAGGAACTACTACTCATTTTCTCTGCTCTGCTCTAATCTCAGTTTGTACGTTCAGTCAGATGATGATCATGATGTCATCATCACATTGCATACAACCCTGTGAATCAAATCACACATTCTTCTTCTCGCACCCAATCTAATCTATCAGCATCATGCCATCTTTTTGTACAGTTAATACGCCATAGCATGGTGGTCCACACACTTTAACCAAAGCCCTAACCCTAAAATTTGTTAGGTATTTCTTTTTGTTTTTTGTTTTTTGCCGACAATCGGGAATCAAAGCATATATCTAACCAGCAATGCAAATCAGCTATAATAGTAGTCTTAGTACATGTATGCATTTAAGACATACAAATATTGGGTTGGAAAACTGATGGGTAAATCTACTTGCAAGTAGGGTAGGTAGTCTAAAGCATTCTCATACAATGTCCCCCTAGAATGTGTTGCCACTAAGCTTCAAATTAAATGTTGATTCCATCTGTTTTCACACACAAGTATTTAACGTTTGACTTTCTCAGATACAATTCATATGGTATCAAATGGTTACTGTATGTACAAATCTACTGAAATGATATGGATTCCGACGACCTTTCACAGCTAGATCATCTCAGATTTGTTCATATATTTCTTGAAATGAAGATATCAGTTCAGTTAACATCGTTTATATTTATGTATATATATTTCTATATACACACATCACACACTCACATGCCCTCATACACACCTACATACATACATACATACATACATCACTATCTGGGAGTTTCTACACTTGAAAACATTCTCATTAAATACAGGTCTTTCTTTTACATTAAACAAAAAGACAAAGACATAGGAATAGAGACATAGCACAGAGATTGTACGACTCAAAGACCTCTTAGATGAGATGCTTGAATGAGATAATAAAGCTTCATCTCTTAGGCCAGGTAAAATGGATTCTTAGTTTCTCATCTAATGAATTAGATGCACTTTCACTTTGTTTTTAACCTCTCGTGCATGTCCAAATCAAACTATATACAGGAAATTTGTGTTGAACTTGCCCAAAATGCATTTGAATGAACAGGAAAAATATCAAGTATTAATTAATATGGAATCCACTCACTCCTAGCGTTCATAAGAGCCAGATGAGAGACTAAGACTAATTTTACATGGCCTTATACTTCTGCTTCAAGTTAACTTGTATAGAGATTAGAGAATGGTTTGTCTTTTGGTAAATTCATCTTCATATTAGGATGACTACTTCAAGCGAGAGCTAACTTTATCAATTCTACTAACATTGATGGGGTATATCTTTAGGAATTAGTGATAAAGTAATATTTGGCAGTTTATTGACAACAGGCAAAAACCAAAGTTTTATAGATCAAGATTAGCTTATGAAACACCCAAATAACTTGAATGTGTCGTAGAACTAATTCTAAATTACTTTGATTGTAAATACCTTTTGGTTAATATATAACGAATGGTCACAAAGCTCGTTATAGATTAGTATAATGTGTATATATTTTGGTAAATATCTATTAAAAGTGTTATTAAAATAATTATAAATGTAATTTTTCTTCATAAACAAACACTTGTATGGTCATCAAAATCAGTGCACAGATCCTAGTGAAGTAATCATTACTGGCAATGGAAAATACACTTCATTGGCAGTAATTACTTCTCAAATTATGATACCAATATATAATTAAAATTTGAAACCACTTATGTTTAACCTTGAGGAGTAATTAACAATGTGTTCGTAATGACTGGGGTCAAGGAATGGTGTATGAACCATCACACCAAGGAGAAAGATAGTATTAACTGCATATTGTCTACTACAACATAGAACATGAAAGGGTCATTAAATTGCACTCATTAACTTGTTGAAGATTAGGTCTGCATAATTAGGCATGATATAATGGCTCATTTGCATATGATGCAGTTAACCACCTTAAAATCCCACCACAGCAAATGACTAACACACTGTGTGTTTCACATTTCTGTATGTTATAACACAAGATCAGTGAGTATGCTTACCAGTGTTGTTGCACACAGCTAATGTCTTTTTAACCTCCACTTACCATTCATACACACATAAATGGAATCATTTTGGCATGCTGCTTTTTCAAAGGCAGTTGACTGCATCATATGCAAGCAAGGCTTTACAAATGTTAATTGGATTGTCCCAAGAAAAAAAGGAAAAATGGTGAAATGAGATTTCAAACATTACATCTCTTGAGGAGAATCCTTTGAATCTCATTATATGCTCAGCATTGTTCATCAGTGAACACCTAAAAGACAATGTGGGGGTGGTGTGTTTGTTATCATTGCAAGTGTTCAGCGCAACAATTGTGAAATACTTTTATAACGACTCAAGTGCCTTCAACGAGCTCCACTCAATGGACAACACCAATCCTAAGTACCCCTGTGCTGATATGACATCGAGAGGTGATTGATTCATAAGAGATTGAATTGTAATGTTTGACGGAGATTGATGAGAAAGTATCAAACCAAGGATTACAAGACCTCTTCCACTGCTCATAGAGTAGGGAGAGAGAGGAGTCATATTCCAGGCTCTATATCACACATATATGCAGTGTTTCAGATAATGAAATATAAACAAACAAAAAACCACATATACAAAGCTTGCACTCCACAACTTCAATAGTAAAGAGAATGTTTATCTATAAAATGTTTTTTTTTCCTCTTAAGCTCCATAACTTATCAAGACAATAACCTTTGCTATGAAAGGACTGATTACAGCTATCACATATATTCCTGATACATTAATGATTACATAATCACTTCCAAATGAACACATTCTTATTCACAAGATTCCATGTGTGATGACATAGTATAGTTCGTGTATACAATTATACATTGTGATTACAAACACATAATATTCACCAGATGAGAAACCTATGGAGGCGAGGGTGATGATACAAACTGCACATGTTTTACATCCACTTCACAATATACATTAACTCTGATCAGCACTGATATATGACTGGGTCCACTGTATTACATCCATATGCAAAGTGAATAGATAGCTACAGGAGAGGAAATGGTCGTAATCCACAATTATTTTAAAACCTTTCAAACAGAATTCCTGTTAAGAAGAATTGGTAGACAAAGATCACTATAATTTGTTTAGTCATGCATGAATACAGGTGAAGTTCAGTTTAAAATATATGAAAAAAACATGTTAAAGTCCTGTGTGAAGTGAAATCAAACGAGTTGTCCTTTCAAGAGCAGTGCCCTGACAATAAACATATCAAGATACAGTCTTGATCTTCACCACTAGTTACAACTGACTGGGTTACGTAAGAACACATTATGACACAGACTCGACAAATATAAATGTAAACATATATGTGTATAAGGCAAACTTTCATTCCATACCATACTGACATGTTTAAATAATACAAATTCTGGTCCCTTTTTGCAAAATGCAATTATTAGCATGAACCACTCACTTGACATGATTCCAAAGAGCAAGGTAGGGAACAATCAAAACTTGACTTATCTTACTTCAAGCTAAACATCCTCCTACAAAATCAATGGTCATATCAATTGATTTTTATTTGGATAGAAAATAAATAAAAATATCAAAATCAATGGTTGATATTAAAACACTGATTTTGCTGCCTACCCTTTTCTCTGATAATATCTGAAAGCAATGATATATTGATCTACACTGAGAAAGAATCATTTCAACAGATATTTCATGACTGCATTCCTGCTCTCTCTATATAGACTGAGTAGTCAAATGGACATGCTAACAGCATTCATCAAAATGTACCATAAAGAGAATACTGTAACAGCTTTGTCAATATACTATTCAACATTTGGTAATGTCTGAGCTTGACCTTGATTAGTGCATAAATCTTGATGAAAATGAATGAATCATGTTGCAGAGTTTCAAGCAAAATGATCATTTAGAGAATTAAGGAGATTTAATTTCTATATCAGTTTGGTAGCACATATGCAAACTTTGTGCTTGAGTATTATAAGCCAATCCCTCGACTAGATAACACAATATTTCTGATTAAAAATATAAATATTAAATTGAGTATCTGGTATAGGGTTCAGCTTTCTTCTGACTGAGAGGCCTACAAGGTACATGTAATTAAAGCAGATCATAGAGTGCTTTAAATCACACTGGTTGGTGAAAGTTCAGAATTGCCCAGTTTTTGTCTCTTTTTCACATTGAATATTTATATATTTGTTTAAAACTCTCAAATCTGCTTTTTAAAAGCATTCTAGAATAGATGCACAGTTCAGTCTACAGGACAGATGCCATGTTTAAAGCCAAATAACTTTGAAATCCATATAAATATATGTGGAACAGCAGTATGAAAGTACTTCATATCTATTAGATGCCAAAATTAACCTTGTACAATTTGACCACACTTAGAAATTACAATTTGATTATACAATAATTACAATCTATCTATATTCCTTACAAAAGACATTTCCCATACAGAATCAAAATAGAAAACAGAAACAAGCAACTTGTTATGAATTGCTTGCATGAATGGATTAAATACAAGTCCAAATTTGAGATGAATGTCCTAGACTGTATACACCCAGTATCTCCAGTATACTGTCTAGAGTGTCTTTCTATCTATAACTCTCAGGGAAAACAAAAATAGGTGTAGACTCTCTCTCTGTCTGATACTCTGGGTTGACAACACGCCTCTCGGTCTGAATAACAGCAGCCATGGAAACCACACAGACATCCATCCTGTATCCAATACGTTGAGGCAGCAGTGATTCCAATCAAAGACACCCAGCATCAATCCTAATCCAAGAATGCTCATGTTTCAACTCTTCCTTCAGTCTATAGGGATCACCATCATCATCTTATCGGCAGCTATTAGAGACATAGGTGTATGTGCGTGTAGGTGACTTTGAGGGTTGTTCGGGAGGTGTCACATTAAGAAAGTCCCATATGAGGATGGTGTCGTCATGGGAACTGCTCACTATTTGGAATTCATCAAACTGAAGTCTGAACACCCGTCCTGTGTGCTCCTGTAAAACAATACAAGTAAAATCACATCAGTTGTTGTTAAACTAAGTACTCCTCTAAAACAATACAAGTAAACTCATTTCATCATCTGAAATAGTAGTACATAAATCACATATTCGAAATGAGAGTGTTATTAAAGCCCCACTGTACTACTTGTAGCTACTTGCCCCTTCTATATAGCAAACAATGCCTAATCGGTGACCATTGGTCCCCTATGATCCTCTTTTTCTGATGTTAATTAAGAGCTGAATTGATGAGATAGCCACCTGTCAGTGATCTACCTGGGTGGTCTAATCACTCCTGGCCAAACTAGTACAGACAGGCTTTAAAGCTTGCATGTACTCAATTTCGGGTTCTACAACACATGCAATACAGATTCACAAAATGTAGACATGTATGTATTCAGAATAGAATACTTATTTATCTACTCTGAAAACTAGTGAAAGTGTTCAAATGAAACATGAAAAATAAGAAGTTTTGGTAAAGACAAATTGGTTACAGACATCCACTTTATGGAAAGATAATTAATAGGAAGAATAACTACTTACAACTAGTGTCCTAAGGCAAAGAGTGCCTGCTGGCGAACGTGGGTCCAGGGCAGCTTGCAGGTCCCATACTTTGATTTTACTGAAAATAATATCAACACAAAATATCCGTTAAAACAAATACACATTATAACATACACACATTCTACTATGAAAAACATCATTTATTTTTATACCAATCTCACAATTCCAGTATGAATGTTTATCTGTTAGTCTATCATTAATTTGAAATACATGTAAATGCCTAGTTTTCAATGCAATTGACAAACACAGATGTTCGAACACAAAACTGGATGCAAACATTTACCGGTAATGTGATATTGCTAGACAATTAATTTAGATAATAGCCATTGGGAAGCATTTCAAGAATTTCAACATCACAAATTATTGTTACATGAAAAATTGATTTGTGCACCATAAAATTGTCATTACTCTATAATCGTCAAGACTATCATCATAATGGCATAAAATCACCAATGACGATTACATAACATAAACCTGAACGCCTATACCATGGTTTAACCTCTAGCAAGGATAGTAAGTATACATAAGTGGAAAATAATTATGCATTGTATGTTCGATGGACATAAGCACATACATACTGTGCTTTTGGAGGTTAGACCATAAACCTTCATGAATTCAGGCCAATGGATCTTAAAGGGATAGTTGAGTTCTGTTGCAGAGGGTGCTACACAAAATAATTTTTTGTGAGATAATGAAAAACTGAGTGTCAAATTTGAAAGAACATAATATTTAAATGACAAATTCATCTTTGTTTGATCAAAATCAGTTCAGAGACGGCTGAAATATCCATAAATATAACGATTTCGTACCACCACAAATATTAGATATTTTGAAAAATTTGAAAAAACCGTTGAAAAAACAAAATAATGGCTTTTACGTCGTATTTCAGCCAATGCCACTGTATCTTTTTTGTTGGCATTTTCGTGTTGCTTATATTCCGCACAACCAGCCGGACCATGTATTGTTATTTTTAATTTAAAAATTAATTAACGGTCGCTGTGTTTTTATGAAAGTGGAGCTGTATTGGTATGATTGTATTGGCTAAATTCACACATTTTGTGGTCTAAAATTAACCGTTCATAGAAATTTTAGGTTCTAAAAGGGCACTAGAAATGTCATAGATAAGAGTAAGAGCAATAACCATGCACTTTGAGGGCATTTGCGGTCTGAAAACAGAACTCAACTATCCCTTTAAGACCTTGTTCTTATATAAGGCATAACTGTCAAACTTTCACAGCAAAAATTAAGAATCTTTCAAGGCAAAATTAGGAATACAGTTTATTTCTTTATTTTTCAGATGGAATATTCCAGAAAAAGAGAGGAATCTAGGGTTCAACACAATAGCTTGAAGGCTAAAAAATAGGAATCATTCCTCAAAAATAGGAATGGTTGACAGCTTTTATTGAAATATGTTAAAGTGAGCTACGTACCCATCATAGGCTCCACTGACGATCCTCTTGTTGTCAAACCTGATGCATCGTACTAATTCTTCATGTCCTTCAAGGACTCTCAAACAAGCACCACATTCTATGTCCCATAATCTGACAAGAAACAAAGAAAAACATTTGATTAAAAAATGAGTAAAATGGTATCAATTTATCACCAAGTAGTCCAACCTGTCTATGGCCACCTAAAGGAAACTGGAAAAGTAGCCACTGTAGAGAGGTGACCCTTCGAGAGTAGTTTAACAATAAATATTTTCAAACATTTCTTCCAAGAGGGAATAAATATAACGGTAGGTGATCATAAATGACAGACAGCATTTAAAGGGCATGTTTCAAAAGCCCAGATTGCATGAAACATGGCAAGCAGTTATCTCCTAATAATTTGTCTTTTTGCCAATACAACTTTTCGGTACATTAACACAAACTGCTATGTTGTATTTCAAAAATGTGCTTGATTGTGCAAGAGAAAAGAGGCTGATTTATTTAAAGATAGCATCAGATATTTCATAGTGCCAAAAACAAAAAGTAGAATAGTTCTTACAAAACTAGGAGGGAAAGCAAGATATAAATTACTGAATCAGTTGAATCACATAAAAACTTATTGTGAAAATGTTTATTTTGAAGGTGGCAGGACAACTTGATGAATTTACAAACCTGATAGTATTATCTGATGAGCCACTAACAACTAGTCTATCTCTATACTGCAAACATGCTATGCCTCTCCTATGTCCATTCAAGGTCCTCACAAATTCACATGTTGATGTGTTCCAAACCTGAAGGTAAAAACAAGAATTATTATAGTAACAACAAATTTTACAAGATATTTTGTATATGACCCTATAACTATTGACCTTTTAAACCCCAAATCTCTTAATTCTTTCATGATTATAATACTTGACCATACTGGTATCAAGTATGGTTACAATCCAGTTTCTGAACTTTTCATGCTGATGAAGAAGGATGGAGGGGCAGACAGACAACCGGACGACAAGTATTTCATGAATAGAGAATAGAAAATCATTAGGAGCATCAAGTATCAGTAGCAGTGGTGGGAGTAAGCAACCAGAGGACCGACGGCTTTAGGTCCTCTCTGAGAAACCTGGTAATGAGGATTAATGCCTTACCAAAGGGCACTAGCACATCAACTTTGTTCGGAACCCAGGTCGCCAGATTTACAAGACCACCGCTCTACCAACTGAGTTTATAGCACTAATTCTTTAAAGCGTTACAGAAGTGAGATTTCATAGATGGTTTAAAATGATAGGACGGATGGAAGAGAAACTTTGTATCATTTCTTTGTACCATAAAACTTAATTTCATATGCAATGTTTAATTATTTAAACATTTCATAAAGTTTGATGGATATATCTTCTTTGAAGTTACACCTGGTTCGAATTTGTTTTAAAAGATACCTAACAAATTTGTTGAATATCCTTTAAAGGATGAATATTTAGAACTGCTAGAGGGAGAAGTGTACATACCTTGATGGTTCTGTCTCCTGAAGCTGATACGATGTACTTATCATCAAAGTCCACTACATTGACAGCAGCACGATGACCAACAAGAACTCTTCTTAGGCTGATATCACCTGCTGATTGCATGTCCCATACAGCTATGGACCGATCCTAGAAATCAATTAAACAATCAATCAATCAGGATCAGTTTAGGAGGATATACTTTACTCAGATTGCATGTCACATGTATGTGCTATGGATCGGTCCCTTTGAATTAAACACACAAAATCACTTGAAAGTCTACTTATATGACAAGAAAATATATATAAGTGCAAGTGTGTTCAAAAGAATTCATCAGACCTCTTCATCATGATGTGACTATCCTTAATGTTAGTAGGAGACCGCAATGTATACTTCATTGCATGAATGATATCAGAATAAAAGCATCAAGTCAACATATTCTGCATTCATTCATATGCATTCAAACCTGTCAATAAAGCCCATTCAAAGGAAACAGAAAAAGTATCCACTGTAGAAAGTGAACTTTTTTGACCCATTCTACAACATACAGTGAGGCAATATAGATGAGGGGCGTTTCACAAAGACTAGGATCGACTTAAAATTGGACTTAAATATGGCAGGCCGTTCATGCCACTGTTTTCTCTCACCATTATGATCTTTAGATAATATTTTTCCTTTAATAATGAACTACCAAAAAAATGTAAATTCTCTAGATTTGAGACCATGATTTGTACGTCCCTTGAGAGACCAATGCCAGTAAAAAGAGTGAGAAAACAGTGGCATGAACAGCTTGCCATTGTTAAGTCCAACTTAAAGTCGATCTTAGTCTTCGTGAAACACTCCCCATTGTGTATTTAATAGAGCTAATTGTTACCTTTGAGCATGTGACCATGAGACCATTATTGAAGCGTAGATGAAGCACTGCTTCACTGTGATGGACTAAGGTATTGAGCATTTCACTCGTATTCACATCCCATACTCTGCACCAAACAAAGAACAAAAAAACAATGTAAAGATTATTTCTATATATACAGTGCGGGTCTTACTATTGGCATAGGGATTACATACCCCTTCTCAATCCAATAGTAATCTTGATCTTAAAACATAAGAGAGAGAGAGAGAGAGAGAGAGAGAGAGAGAGAGAGAGAGAGAGAGAGAGAGAGAGAGAGAGACCTCCTTCCACACTCTCCCTTCACTTAATGGTCTAATACTGAGACTGTTTTTTTAAGATCTAATAAATCTATCAATTTTGGGTATAGTTGTCAAAATTCAGTTTTTCGTCTCTTGACATACGGAAGCTTCATTAAAACAAATCAAAACACCAAAACAATTAGTTTATACAAAAATGAATTCAGATAACATATAATTATAATAGACTGAATAAAATTGGCTATAAGTATTTGATAAACAATATATTCTTAACAGGCTAATCATATTTTATATGTATTCATAAAGTGTACATATACAATGCCACTTTTAAAGCTTTTAAATAAACTTGTTAATTGTGATGTTTAGGAATAAATCATTCAACTAAGAAGAATAAGAAGATTGCACTGGTATTATATTAATCATTCTGCTATACTACAAATCTGTGTATGATATACTAGCGCTGTCCAATACCATTCAGCATCCTATATTAGGCAGAGTAGACCATGAGGTACACAGATTACATCCAATATCATTATGCACCAGTTCTGTCAAATGTGATTATGATCTAGCCTCTCACGACAGCATAAGAGCTTTAACCCATCCATGACTACACCAGGGTCCTGTTTCATCAAACTTCTTATCATCAATAATACTAGCACTTTTCTATACAAAATTTGGTCACAGCCAATCAAATGCAATGATTTCAGTAGCTTATAACAGTTACTGTAACTTGATATTAATACTAAGTTTTATGAAACAGGTCCCATCATAATAAAATGAATATAATTGGTAATGACATACCTGACAGTAGAATCACTAGAGCCTGTAATGATGACTTTATCATCATACTGTAGACACAGCACAGAGCCTGTATGACCCATTAACACTGTCCTACATTGCAGAGATTGTCGGTCCCAGATCTACAACACATGAACAAACAACAGCATGTCAACAGAACGAGCAGAACAAACAACTAAATCAAAATAATTATTTAAAAAAATTAAAAAAAAAACACTCTGTAATGGAAGGTATGTATTTTCCACAATGATGTGAATGTAGCAATATTTACCATCTTTCAACCGTTTTGCCACTCATCTACACAGGTTTTCAAATGGTAATATATCAAAGAGAATCTTCAAACCAACAATGTTTATTATAGTGCTCTGGTCAGTAAATATACAAGTTCAAGTCTAAAATATCAGCATATAAGTACATGTACATTATATGTGTAGGCTTCTCAAATAGATTTGTTTTAAACTAGCACCCAGGTTGCTATGTACTAATGTTAAACCCTGAATGTGTACCGTTAACTGAATATAAACGTTCATGTATAAAGCAGACAGACTAGAATGTTTGCATCTTGGTTTTATCATAAGACATGAACTAATTAGAAGAGAGTAATCACTGATTCATTCAGTGTATCAGGAGCACCTTTTCCCTGATGGGTTTATCTTTCTATTGAGATAGCAATCATCTAGTTTTACTAAACTTATCTTTGACCCATGAGCTTCCTGCTGCATGCATTACACACTGGGAATTCAGTTAAATGTATCAGCACTAGCTCTAAATTTGTTTCAATTATTTTTCAACAAAATTATGAGCTGCACAACTAGATCAATTGTTCTTTTTATCAATTTTGAACAGATACAATAATATGTGATCACTGCACATCAACACTCATTAAATTGGCAAAGCATCATGTAGTTTTCATACAGCGCTAAATATACTACAAGGATGACATAAAGAAGGAAATTCAAATTCAAAAGTAAATTGTGCATACTGTTCTATATTTATCCATAATCCTTGAGATCTTTTAAATTCTCTAACCCTGATTTATAACCATCTTCTTTTTGATTAATTTTTGTTATAGGTAGAATCTAGGACCTACATGATATATACAAATGGGCATCAGTACAAGTATGATAGCAAATGCATTGAATTGAATCTCAATTAGTATACTACTTGAACTACTACCTGTTAATAAATTTTCAACAATGAAAACAATGATGTTGTATTCTTACCTTAATTGTGTTATCCCTAAGACCACTAACGATTTTAGTGTCATCGTACTGAAGACAGTAGACACCCTTCGATGTCTCACTATGACATTGGATTCGATACAGCTCATGATGGCCACACCTCCAGTTGTGTTCAATATTCTAAACAGAAACAAAGAACAAAAACATCTCCAGGTGTCAGCCAAGACAAATATATCAACTCATTCATTCAAGAACTGGTGATCCAAATATTCAACTAAAATTCGAAATATCTTTATAGTGTTGACTGTATTGGCAAAATTCATCAAAATTTCATAAATCACAATAATTTCCAATCCTGTTGCCAATATGGTGGATGGCTATGTACTATTCAGTAGTAGCACTTCATAAAATTGAACTAGAAGATACATGAACGGGTAAAATATTTTAGTATCCAAACAATTGATGAAAACAAAACCTTAAATAAATTGCCACAAGATGAGAACTTACCTCTATATTTTGAATAATTCTTGGGTAGAGTTTCCTGAAGAATGAATCGCCTTGTTGCTGGTCTCCTGGCTTGGGTTTGAATAGGTATTGAACCCTGTAAAAAACAAAAATAAGAGGGAGACACGTTAGATGTTAAAAGAGCAATGAATTAAACCCTGCACCAGACAAAATAGGACTGGGGGAAGGTAGAGATTACAATATATCAGTACATGTAGGAATTGAATCCTGTACCACAAAATACAAGGGAGTAAATGTTGAGGTTGTAAGAGCAAGGTATTGAGCCCCGTTCATGAATGACAGAGTGCAGGGATGCAAGGTTGTCGACACCTCAAGTGGCTATTGCTCACAATGCACAATAAACATGTACAATGTATATGTATACAAAAAAAGGGTACAGTACGGACCTGCACACAAAAAAGAGGACCACAACATTTATGAATACCACAAAAATGATCTTATATTTTAAATAGGGGCCATGAACAAGAGAAAGCAAAGAGGGGAGGGGTGGGGGGATGCAGAAGTTAAGTCTCACATTTTATACATTTTCACAATATAATGTTGCATCATTCTTTTTGTAGAAATAAAACATGTTCAGAATGAAAATGTTTACGTCCCAATTCGTACTTATAAAATATGAATGAATGAGAACAGATGCACATCATAATTCCTGTGAACACTATTTAAGAACGGGAATATAATTCAATCATTTTACAAGGCTTGTCACTATAACACTTGGTAGGTAAAATATCTGGGAGTTTGTCTAGACCAGCACATGACGTGAAATACTCTTTAAATAAAATTGCCTCTAGGTTGGCCCTACTTCGTAGAGTCAGGAAATATCTCACAATTGATAGTGCCAAACTACTTGCTAATTCTCTTATCATTCCTTACTATGACTATTGTAGTGTCTCATGGAGTACTTGTAATAAAAGAACAAAAGATATCTTGATTAAGCAACACAAGCAGATGGCAAGAATTGTACTGAAAATAAATACTTTGATTCCCACATCCGAAATGTTTAGTACCCTAAGATGGATTGACATGGAAAAAAGATGGGAGTTCAATAAAAGTAAATTAATGTATGATACTATGAATAATAGTGCCCCATCATATTTATATGATGTGTTCACCCTGTCGGCCCATACTCATATAAACTCAACAAGGAATGCTGACAATTTGGGTGTTATTATTTCAAGAATTAAAACAGAATGTGGAAAACGTGCTTTCTCAGTTGATGGTGCTCTTCAGTGGAATAGCCTACCCCACTCAGTTCGAAATGCCCCGACCAAGAATACTTTTTGTTCCCTCTATTTTAAGCAGCGATGATAAAAATAAATTTGCCTTTCTTTATTTTATTTCTTTCATGACTATTTACATAAATTGTTCAATATAATAATTTGTTAAAATCTAAACAGATCATTGATAATAATCAGAGTATACTGTTATCGATTTGAAATTGCTCATTGAAATTTATCATTCTTACTACGGCTTTGTTTTTATTTTTCACTCTTATTCTTTACTCATTTTCTGTTATATGTTACTATGTATTGATGTTTCCCATGATATTTATATTGTTCAAGTAGTTTGTTTCTTCATATATGTTGCATTTGTGTACAGGGCCCCCTGGAAAACAGTACTGTGATTACTGACGGGGCTACCGTGTTTAAATAAAACAAAATAAATAAATAAATAAATAAAAGTAGGCATCCACATTTAATCATGGTTAACAACAAAAACATATGTTAAAGCCTTTCATTCTTTTAAATACATAATTCCTTTGACTGTGTATGTCTCATTGTTCCCATAATGGGGTAATAGTGCCATGCGATATTACTCTACTATCTCCCCCTATAGTGCCATGCGATATTACTCTCCTATCTGCCCCTATATGTAGAGTACAATCACACTGTGAATGAAATGATGAATGACTAATTGAGGGTGGATGACTAACCCTGTGTAATGACCTTGCTGTCCATCTCATACTGGACACCGCAATGAGGACATGCATTTATCAACACAGTTTCATACACTCATAATGTGGCATCGACATGTTTCATAGTGCACAACTGTGAGTGCCACATACAATCATACATTATACATGTCTCATGTAAAAACCTTTACAAGTAAACAAGTACATATATTGTAATACACATGTAATCAGGATGAGGAACAATTTGCTGCTGTACACAAATTCTAGATTTATTTTAAATAAATTGTGAAAAATAAATCTGGTCATTTTTTTGAATTTGTAAATTTTTAATCCGTTTGTATTTTAGATCTATTCATTCATTTATTATTATTACTAGGTAGTATTTAAAAAAAAAAATATTATAATGATTTTTGGATTTTTTTTTGTTTGTTTGTGTTTTGTTTTGTTTTTGTTTTTGTTTTTTTTTTTTTTTTTGGGGGGGGGAAGTTAAATATAGATCTGCATGAATCATCATCAACATGTACATGTACACTGAAGGCATGGGTGTCATTAAATTTTGACTTCAAGTCAAAAGCGCAAGGCTAAGACAATGCAAACAATGGGTTGCTTGGATATATATGGTATGACACAGAAATATACTCATTCGACTGGGTGGTCAATATAACCATACAAAATGGCCGGGCATGAAATATCCTAATTATGATCCTCGCAATCGATATCACGTCTTTGTATCTGTAAGAGCTATAATATACATTCAACTATAAATTAAATTAGACTGCAAGTATTTCAAGTTACATGTACATGTACTGAAACTGATCAATGGGTGCAAACATACATGTATACATGTTGAGATTCATGAATCTGGATTGAACATCTGCACCATTCCCACAAGCCTATAATACAATGTATGTTACATACTGTACATGTCTCCAACTATATGTGTGTATCACTAGGTACAGATGGATAGACATGTATGCACATGTTAAAACCAATTCTCGCTTTTTAAGCTAATCTTGAGTTGATTTAATAGCATTCCATTTCTAAAAAAAACTTGTATCAAGTCCGCAATGTCCATTAAATGCAGGAGGTGAGCCATTAAGAATCAGCAATAAGATAAAAAAAAAAAAATTAAATGTAAAGTTTTTAAAATAGTGGCTTCTAGTACAGTCACATTCGCACATTTTGTGACAATATATTTAATATTGGGGATGCAATGCGTAGCTCCATTTCTTTATCTTTCTTTATCATTCTTTCCTCATATAATACCTTTTTTAAAATCTAAAATCATTATCATTTGCGAGATATCCTCATTTGTATTCTTGTCAATTCTAATTTTGATTTTTGAATTATGTATAGAACTATATATATTCCAATTTCCAACATCAATGATCAACAGAACTCAAAATAATAATTTCAACTAATGTGTAGAATCAGCCAAAAAGGTTTGAAATGTTGAATTGTACAATTAGCCTCTGCTCTTCCTCAGGGGGAGAATTTGACTAAATAATTCACTCCTAAAATTAAATGATACATTCGCCCCTCTCATGTTATATTTTCTGGTTAATTTTTCTTCTAATCAACAGTACATACATGTACATGTTGTCTATAGTATTAATGTGAGTGTATGATAATTCAATTATTCTTTCTCTAAATCTACACAAAATTGTGCATAGATTGATACAGTCATATTAAAGCTACATGGAAAATGTACAGTATGTAAAGCCTCGGTCACAAATGCCATTACGAACTGCTACGAACACCGTACGAACGATTTTCAGACAATGGAAAACACAGAGATTCGTACGAACCTTTGTGACCGTAGCTTAAGGAAACACAGCATGACTACTAATCATAGACATGCACTGATAGATGTAAGTATATCTCACTGTTAAAAAACAAGAGAGAATTCTAAAGACAGAACATTTCATTTGAAGGGGAATACTATTAAATTGCTTATAAAGTAGACTCATGAAATACAAAGCCTTCAAGTGGTTATTAAGCAGTAGGACCTCCTTCACGCTTTATGTAGCAAACTGCTTTAAAAGAAAGATATAAAATATGAAGACATGATGAGTGCAGTCTATTTGACCTTTCTGCATCTTCCAAAACAAAAGTATGGCTCTAATATTGATGGCTTCATCGCATGCAGCTAATTATTTTCAACCCTGGTGTCGTTTAATGACAGTTAAAAGTTGGGATTATTTTTTCACAGAGGTTTTTTTCTCTCTGTCTTTTTCTTTTTTAGGACAATTCCCTGCATAGTGTCTAAACAAGGAATTAGTATGCACCGGTCAAGTAAACTTAATTTCATTCATGATTGACTAATCAATATAACTTACCATCCTCTTCTCTCGGCCAATCCTCTCCATAGGTTATCTGTTCTGACCTTGTGTTCGATGAGTTTCTTCCATAGCATACCATCTGATATAACACGTTTCCATTCTTTACAAACACCCTCAGCAGCACACAATGACTTGGAGTCCAGATATGATAAGATCTTCTCAGCAACGTGATCTAAACCTTTCTCTGCAACACAAAAACAAGACACACATGTATATTGAAATTAATTTTTTTTTAATTTACCCGAAGTGTAAGACAAATTCAGAAAAAGTGGTACGATGTTTAATCATTGATCAATGCATTGGGCTTTCAAACTTGACAGAAGGACATACTCTGTATCAAATGGCAATTTGGTTTAATAGTCAAAGTGTACAAGCTATATAGTAAACACCAGACATCTGAAATCTAAAAATAGCCCTAAACATCAAGTTTCTTTCTTAGAATTTCACCTAATGGAATGATTTCATCAGTACACTCCCATAACCACTTTACATATTTCCATTAGAAAATTTAAAAAACGGGTGTTCCAACACTCTTATCCAACACACACAACCTGTCCTTGATACTAAAAGTTCATGCAGGTATACATGTGTGTCTGATTCAGCTCTCTTGGCAAACACAGCCTTGATTTTCCACCAAGTCTGAGTTGTTTTCCTTGGGCTGAGTTTAGCCCAGATACATCACTCTATGAATACCATTAAAACAGGTGGTATCGCAAGAAATCGAGGATATGTAAATCTATGCACATGTAAGTAATAAATGTGTACATATAATCACTGAATGCATCTCTACATGTACATGTACAACACAATGCACATTAGATGTACAATGGTTATGAAAAGTAAATAAAGGAACATCGTGATCAATAATCACATGATTTATAAAAGCACATGGTTCCTCTATCCACATCACTATATCAGCGCAATGCACAAACATCCTGCCATACTTACCCAACTTCAACATACTGCTCTATACTCTACCTCAGTGAATAATACCTTTTCATATTACAAAACAAGTCTTAAATTGCAAACACGTCTCCAAGTCTGCTATTACTAAAAACCTTTCTTTGTCGGTCGGCCAGCCTCCCTAGCTGCCCTGGATAAGTCATGTACAGAGAAGCTTTACCCAGCCTGCAATCTAAACCATTATAATGCTACTATTTTCTATCTCGCCATAACCCCTCGATGAGGTAAATGTCCTTAAATATTCATCAAGCCTAGATGCATCATTGTAGCAGTGTAATTGTCACTTCTCATCCTCAAGGACATCTTTTGTTCTCTTTTCCTTTTGGAGGGAAAGCCCCCATCTGCTTATGAATGTTTAAATGTCAAACTACATTGTATGTAAAATGCTCTCAAGCCCCATGTTTATTTGACACATTTTGTATGTTAATAGCAAGATCTACGGTAAACAAAATGTAAAGAGATTTTGCAAAATTCTTCTCAATAGAGAATAATAAACATATAAAATAAGAGAGGGAGAGTCCAAGGTACAATATAAAGGTACTTTATAATTCTATGTCCCAAGTATTTACATTTGTAACATTTCCAAGAAAAAGTAGGAGAAAGAAAAAATGTCCTTGATATTTTAACTGATCATATCTCTTTAAAGATTCAGGAGGTATATACTGAAAGCATTGAAGATGTCGGTGAGATATGGGCAAAAATGAGGCTTGGACTTGCCTGGGAAATGATAGCACCTGGTAGTGTTGTATTAATGATCTTTCTTTCATTTCATTTTTCAACTTACAGTACACAGACAGTGGGTCAGCCTACTGTTTTTACGATGTGGATTATGTATTAATGACTGAAACAATTGGGATCACATTGCCATATTGTATTCTTTTTATTAGTTTTTATAACTCATTATAGTGAACAGATACACTGTAGATACCTTTATAATCAGATTTATTCTAACGGTTACACATGTGTACAGGTACATGTACATACATGTACATGTATCAGTGTGGCTGTTTTAATACAAGAATACCTGGTTTATCAACCTCGATCTTAAATTACATGTACCGTGAATCTCCGTGTATAAGGCGCACTTTTTTGCCGCCGAAAAAATTTGAAAGTCAGGGGTGCGCCTTATACACAGGTACAGAAAAAAAAGTGTTTTTTTTGTTGTTTTTTTTAGTTTCGATTTATGGCGCTATGCCTGGCAATGTCTCCAAGCTCAGTAGTCAGTGTGTTGACTCACCACTCGGAAACTACAACACTCAAATTTGTCTGTCATCTTGATTTGAAAGTAATCTTTCTAATAGATCTCAATATGTAGTTTATAATAGTAATTCCTCAACTTTTTGTTCTATTCATATCATGCATGACTATTGATGTTTGGCATAGAACACCGTGCTTTTTGCTAGGTGATGTGATGAGGCTGGTGTGGGACACTTGGTATCATGAAGCCTTAGAGTCTGAACCTGTTTTTAATTTACATTAATGATCTTACACATTCTTCTACAACGACATTGTTACTATTATTTGTGACAAGTTCACAACTTCAACTGCACCTCGATGTAAAATGAAGTCCTTCCCCGCGTGGGTTTTCGGCAACAAAACAACAACAACAACAAAACAAAAACTGATTTTTTTTTATTTTTTTTTTTTTATTTTTTTATTTCCCCCCCCAAAAAAAAAATAGGGGTGCGCCTTATACACAGGTGCGCCTTATACACAGAGATTTACGGTATGTAGTTTTCTTACTGCATTCTGGCAATGACACTTGACAGAAAAATATTCTTGCAGGATGAAATAAAGATTACTCAGATGATCCAGGGAATACAGGGTTAACTCAACTCCATCTGGTGTTAACGTTGTCAATTAAAAAATTTTCTACACCTCTAACATTTTCATGTAATATATGACCTCTACAGCCTGTACATGTGTACTTCATTTATCCCTAAATTTCATAAATTAATGCAAACTGATACCGATCTTGAACAAATAACCAGTAACCACAGAGGAGTCCGCAATGCTTATTTACATGTACTAGCTTCAGTGTCAGTAGTAACCTTACTTTGTACATTTGCACATGTAAGACTTTGTACAGTGTACATGATAATGACCTAGGCGTAAACCATGGTGAATAGAATCCCTCGAAGGACAATACCATAGCAAAAAAATATTCCAATCTATTTTTGTGTTTTCTCGTTGAGTCTAAGTAAGCAATTCAATATCATTGCCAAGTTAGAGACTCATGGAGAGGGTGTAGCCATTGAAACGAGTCATTGTTACAAAAGCATGATACAATGTATGTAAACAACAGTCAAGGAAACGTGACATGTTGCTTTGATTCTTTCATAAAGATCAACCCCCAACCCTCTTATTTTTCAATTTTAATGATTTGAGACTGAACCTGGAATAATGTACAAGTATTGTATTGAAAGGTGCACATGTGGTTTTACTCATTTGATTTGATTTGATTTGAAAAGGTATTTATTATAAACCACATTTCTTTTGTACTTCTTGATTTTCTTCTATTTCTATAGTGCTTACATGTATAGACTGTAATTTGCGCTATTTAAAAACTGAGTATTATTATCCTTATTAGGGCCCTACATGTAGATAGCCAACATCTCAAAGTCCTTTCTGAAATTCACATGAAAATTCATTAGAAATCATTCACAGAACATCATAATATCTCGCAAAGGTATCGTGATACAAGTACAAAAACACACTGTTTTACAAATTTCATTCCAGTTTCCTCTTCACTCCTGTCTTCACTACCATTATTTCTTATCATCTTATGTGCAATGATGTTGATGGGACTTACTTGGCAGTGCTGTGATGAAGTCTCGTTGAAGCATAGGTTTGAGGAAAGCATTGATTTGACCATGTTGGTAATGACACATACGAAGGATCAGTGCCTGGACATATTCTAGTTGTTCATTCTCAATCCATTTGTCAAAGTATTCTAAGCAGCGTTCCTTCTCTTCTTTATAATTGGGTGATGGTTCCTTTACTTTGGATACAGAACGTAGTTTTATGGTCTGAAAGAAAAGAAAAGAAATAAAGACAATTCCATCAAAGAGTACATGTTATACAGTAGGTTTACGGTTGCATCATGTGAGAGAGGGGGAGGATTTGGGAGTCCTGAAAAGGACTGCTGGTAATCTTTCTTGAGCTTATACATGTACAGTAGTTCTAAAGAGAACTATAACACCAGTTAGAGAGGATGGGTAGTATGTAGGAGGGGCTTGACGTTTCGAACAGCTTGACTATCCATCGTATTTTGATTGGGTCAATTAACCTTGGATACTGAATATAATTTTAATGTCTAAAGATGAAACTATGAAATCAGATGAATGAGACACACACTACACGAAAATTCAATTTTAAAACTGTACATGTACAGTACATGTATGTGCTACCCCGTAATCCCAGCATTTTCATATTATCAACCTATTTAATATAAATGAAGCTTTGCAAGAAATTGTGGGCAAGGGCGGAGGTGAGGAGGCATCCCCCTATCAGGATATGAAGATTTCATAATCTTGATGCATTGAAACTTTACATTCTCCAGGAGCTATTAACACAATCACAAGCAATGCTTTTGAATAATGCTTATAATGGTACATGTATGTTCTGTCTATAAATAATTGATTGTATTCATTGTATGTTGTAGCTTAAAGGGATCGTTTAACAATGTTAAATCTGAGATACACGGCCCTACTTGTTATCAGTGTCTGTGATATGGTGTAATATTGAAGCCCTAAAAAAATTGCGCTTCAAAATGATCAAGAAGTGCCTCAAAAAAGTAAAAATCATTGAGTGACCGGTTTTACCATACTCGTTTTCCCCAATAGACTTTAGTGTTATGAAAACCGTCAGGCGGACGGTTTTCAAAATTTGTAATTTCAATCGTAAATATCTTGATAATCAGACAGGCGATCGGCTTGTAAATGTCATGGGGTTCCTGACTGACCTAAAGGTTTATAATTATCATTGCATCATGAGCTAAATCCAGAATTTTATTTCAGAATCTGAGACAAAGTTACCGGATCCCTTTAAGGAAGCAAGAAAAGTTGTTTTGGATATTAATTCATACAGGAGAGTAGCAACCAAGTAAAACGTATTTAATTTTGAAATACTGATCCTTTGTATTCTGGTGTACATGTACACACAGTATTTACAAAACATTTGCTGTTAAATCATTGACTAGAATAAAACCATTTTCCTGATTTTTGGGGGATGTTTAATTTCTGAGTTGATAATCCCTCTGAAGGTTTGATAGGGCACATGTTCCCATCCCTACCATTACCAAACCTGCAAATATTATACTTTGCATTTCACACAATGACATCTCCTCCGCCCATGTTATGATCACACATCATGAATCATAAGACTCATCATAATAACTTGCTTTACTTTAATTGACATTTTGAAGGGTTAAAAAGGATAGAATTCCCATTTTTTTTCAGACTACCTCTAGAGTTTTGGACAGAATGTTCACGCCTCTTTTTGTTTCCTGCTTGACTATAGTATTAGTACTCATGAAGATAATTGCTTAATTCCCACTTCCACTAAATATTCTGCTTCATATATTATCTCATGAATAATATCCTATTCTAACAACTTTCATAAATTGTTACTTTCAAATGTTTTCATGAAACAAAACCTTTGTACTTAGGGGAATTGTATATTCATTTACTTGGCAATATGAAGCTTTGACAAATCTGGATCATTCATGAAAGCTTCTAGCATGTAACAGTAACTTGTTTGATAGCTTTCTAATTAATTTAACCTGCAGAACTCAACAAAAACCATCATCAGATACAACTAAAACTAAAAGTATAAATCATGCTTTTTTAAGCAATGTGTTGTTATATGTGATGTAATAAAAGCCCTCCCTCACACAGCGAGGTTGACCCTAAATTAGTGAAACACAATACACGTACATAATAACTTTCTATTACTTTATAATTAATCACTTAGGAGTGCTACAAACAAAAAGTAACACAGGGCTTACAAAATTAGAGAATGTGAAGAGAAACATGAAATAGACTCATAAAAATAAGTAAGTTAAATGAACATCAAGTTTCTACTGGAACTTGGAAGAAGTGGGTTTCGGGAATCTTTTGAAAAGGTATTAAGACAGGTTAATTCTCTGATGGAAATACGGATATTGTTCTATGTTTTATAAAGCAGCCACTGTAAATCGTTTTAAGGTAAAGGTGTACATGAGAGTCTGGATTTGGTAATAATTTGTTTATATAAATTTGTCAGTTGTCATAAGAGGTTACAACCTACATGTACACCTGTAGGCCCCGCTGCACAAAACTTACCATGAACCCTTGATTTTGATTGGCTGTTGAGCACTGTTACCATGGTACAGTAGGTGCCATTGACGTAAGTTACCATCAATGGTAAGTTTTATGTAACAGGCCCTGGTGTGTACATTTTGAAGGTATTCAGGTGCCATATGATTTAGAATATTGATGGCATACAAGCCGGCCTTAAACAGAACGCATTGTTTTAGAAGTAACCAGTGGAGTTCCTTCATCAAGGTAGAAGGGGCCAAAGGAATTGTTAACAGTGCCAAAGATGTATATTAGGGCTGTGCACAACAGTGTAATGAGGTACCCAAGTACACTCCCAGGCTCACAGGCGAATACTCGAATATTCGGACGCCATGTTTTTTTTATAATTTTTTTGATTTTTTTTTAAATAATTTTTTTGAATTTTTTTGATTTTTTTTGAATTTTTGAATTTTTGAATTTTTTTTCTTTTTTTTCTTTTTTTGCCACTACCATACCACTCGGCAGTTTCTCAGGTCCCTCGCTGAAAACGCATGCAACTTTACTTTGAGTTCCAGTTGAAGGCGCCGATTTAATAAGAATAATAACAGTAAACAATGCTGTTTTATAAAAACCAAAGATGGCAGAATAATCCATTTTCCTCCAAGTCCAAACAGAAATCTGGACATTTGGTCCCAGTTTCTGAAAGGTGAGTTTGACAGTGCTTGACGGCACGGGTAAGCGCTGGCCTGGACATTTTTTTTTTTTTTTTTTAATTTTTTTTTTTTTTTGCGGCCGAATATTTGGGTACAAGAAATTGTACCCGAGTAGTTGTCAACCGTGCGGGTACTCGAGCATTCGACTACCCGTCGCAGCCTTAATGTATATTAACCTGCTGTTCTTTAAAATGTGAATAGCTTTTAAAAAAGTGAGGTGATGGCACTCCTAATCTTTAAGTTTAACAAGAAAAGTGTGCACACATTTTAACACATGATAAATGAGGTGCCACATCAGCAATGTTATATTGGTTTCACAGTGTGGCATCTCAGTCTAGCCTTTTGGTTCTGGGTTGAGTCACCATCCTGGAAGTGATCTTATTCTGACATTTGGCACCAACTTTACCAATTCAATTAAGTTACATGTATGTAAATTATGGACATAATAATAACTTCTGTGGCTGATTTACTTTTTTGATGGGTTTTTTTTGTCTTCAGTTTTAAGATTAGTTGCATGTACATGTAGGTGGCCTCTCATTGTGTCAATGAATACCGGTATGCATGGATGTTGGATGTGAGTGTAAAAGTTGTTATACAGTACATGTATGTGAGGCAGTAATTTACGCTGGCAGCTGATCATAAATTTACATGAACAATAATATGAGGAGCTTTGTCTTCTCCTCCTTCTTCTGTATAAAGTAGATCAAGGTAAACCCTATATTGTTAAAGATCAACAAACTGCAGAGTATTGTTTTGGAACAAGATACAGTCTCGACACTCCATGACTAAATTGCATACGGCCCACGCAAGCAAATAATGCGTACAATGAGACTTGTTCAATGTTTTATTTCTTTGTGTTACTAAGCAATATCATTGCGAATATATATCTGAGATTTGCCAAAAAGGACTAGCAATATCCCTGTTTTGTGACATTATCAGTAGGGGCACTGGTTCGAGAATAAGTTTCTCCATTAAACGAGGATCTTCTTCATAAACAGAGACAGAAACGTCTTAAAAATAAGCATTGTGTGCATTTTCGCGACAATTCTTATTTTCGATCAACGCGTTGGCGATGCGAAAAACGGATTTCGCGATGATGCTCCTTGATGCAATTCACACTTACTGTGCACAGTAAGGCTGCCACAGGTAGTCGAATGCTCAAGTACCCGCACAGCAGATAACTACTCGGGTACGATTTCTCGTACCCGAATATTCGGCCGCAAAAAAAATAAAAAAATAAAAAAACTGTCCAGGCCAACGCTTACCCGTGCCAGGGAGAGCGGCGGCCGCTGGCATGATACCGTCGGTAAAAATGTTTCCCCAAATCAAGCACTGTCAAACTCACCACTCAGAAACTGGGACCAAATTTCCGGATTTCTGTTTGGACTCGGAGGACAATGGATTATTCTGCCAACTTTGGTTTTTAAAATCAGCATTGTTTACTGTTATTATTATTATTAAATCGGCGCCTTCAACTGCAACTCGAAGTAAAATTTCATGCATTTTCGGCGATACTGGGATACTGCACCAGTGGTATGGTGGTGGCAAAAAAAAATTAAAAAATCAAAAAAGTAAAAAAAAGTAAAAAAAAACACAAAAAAACATGGCCTCTTAATATTTGAGTATTTGCTTGTAAGCCTGGGAGTGTACTCGGGTATCTCATTACACTGTTGTGCACAGCCTTAGTGCACAGAGACTATTATGAATATGAAAGATAAATCCTTGAGAAGACGGACAACCTGTAAAAGTAGATGGTGAACTGGGGCTATTTTATTGCCCGGAATCTGTAGGACACGATTTGTCTGCATTTACGAGGATATCCTTGTTTATGCCGACGATCCTCATTCTCGGACCAGTGCCCCTAATAATTATCAATAGTTACAAATTGTGGTGAAATTCCCTTTAGTTAGGCAAATTCATGCAAAAAAATATATTAAAAAAATTGACTTGAAAACACATCAGACAATTAGTCTGAACCGAGTCAGGAGCAGATTTGAAGAAATTATATTTTTAAATGTTGTAAAACCAAAGATATAAGAAGAAAACTGACCAAGTATCTGTACTAAAAATCGTACATGTAAAATTGGTCGTACACATTCGACAGCTCTAAATGACGCGCACGGTTGCGTTACGTGCGTTCTCGAATCCAAAATCATACCTCACACACACACTCTCACCATACCGCGAATGGTCCGTCGTGGGGAGCTAGCCGGCTGAGAGTTTGCAGCGATACCAACGCAGCTTCGGAGCTCCGCAGCGCGCCATTATAGCGGGACTCGGAAAGGTTCGCGGTGGGAAGGCAGCGGCCTAGCTTTTTGCCCAAACAACGCTAGATCGGCTGCTGGCAAAATGAAAATAACTACGATCGAGAACATCATACCTCACACACACACTCTCACCATACCGCGAATGGTCCGTCGTGGGGAGCTAGCCGGCTGAGAGTTTGCAGCGATACCAGCTTCGGAGCTCCGCAGCGCGCCATTATAGCGGGACTCGGAAAGGTTCGCGGTGGGAAGGCAGCGGCCTAGCTTTTTGCCCAAACAACGCTAGATCGGCTGCTGGCAAAATGAAAATAACTACGATCGAGAACATCGTCGGTTTCTTAACTTTTCAGTGAGATAATTCTGAATTCTAATTGAGACTATATAATAAATTAAATCGACAAAGAAACCTCGGTAGAACTCTTATAACTATATAAAAGCTTGTTTATTTCTTCATTTGACATTTTGTTTTTGACCATTTTTTCGTGCGCGAGTCAATGCAAACTATGTATTGCCAAACTTTCAACACGCAAGGAACGGGGAACACTCGCGGACCTCGTATCAAATTCGTTGCAAAAAAAAAAATCAAGGGTGATTTTGAAGCAGTGTAGAATATTGGCGCTGCAATGCGCAGAAATATACTTGAAAGAAACTTAATAAATCATACCTGAATTTTCAGAAAATCGTATTTGTATTAGTGTACCTAGATGTGAATTGTTTATAACTCAGATTTTATGAAGATTTGTCGGGAAAAAATGTCAATTTTTTCTGTTTGGTGGTCATTTCTAGGCTAATATTTTAAAAGTTACTTCAGTAATGGTCCCGATGTTTCTCTTATCATACTCGTATGTTATTCCTACATACATGTAGATTAAACATAGGATGGTTAAGGGTAAGACCGGATAACATTATAAAAAAGATATATCCTTCCAACCTCCCATATCCAAGTTTTGGGCTGATTATTGCCGACCCACCGCAGCAAGGCCATTCAGATTTTCGTACGCGACCGAAGCGCCTTCTAGTGCCCCATGAATGTGCCTACTTTAGTCATCATTAAAATCAAAGATCTGCATTCATTAATTAATGTACAGTGTATACACAACTTAACTTGAGTATTGTTAAGGACTCTTTCAGTGTATCCTTTAAAATTTGACATGGCTCGATCTTTGATTGAATTTGTGTTGCTGACTTAAAAATTGAATCAAAGAATGATTTACCAGTCTTCCTCAAGAATTTAACTGGTATTATTTGAAACAATTGTGAAAGAAAGATGTTTTTAACTGTAAATTGTCATACAATTTAGCCGAGGCTGCGAAATGATGATATTAATAAACTGAACTGAACTGGAAAAACCTTATTAACTTAAATTGAATTTAGAATAATGTTAGAACAGTAGGGGCGCTGGTCTGAGAACGAGGATTTCCTCATAAACGCGGACAAATCGCATCCTAAAAATTAAGGATCGTCCACATTTTTGTGGGTGGTTTTTTCTCTCAGCGCTCTGCTGGTGTAGGGTTCCCGCTCCGCGCACTGGCAATGCGAAAAATGGACGTCGCGTAATAAAATACCCCCAGTTCATCGTCTACTTTTAATGGGTTGTCCGTCTTTTTTAGGATGCGTCTGTCTACGTTTACAAAGTCAAAGACGATCCTTATTCTCAGACCAGTGCACCTAGTAGAAATTTGCCTACTGCATTAGACCACAGAGATAAATGACTTCATAGCTGCTGGAAACAAAGTCTGGAATCTAGTATTATTCATAATCATAGACATATCATTCACTACAGTCTACACCGAGCTAGCTGTGTAGCTTATCTACACTACACACAACTCAACAAACATGCAATCCAGTCACACAGACACAGTGCAGTCTAACATTATTACAGAATTCTGAACAAAGTGGTGGTAATTGGCAAGTCTTGGGTGGCTTTATGTCATTTATAAGCACATATTCCATGAACAAACTGAAAATCTATACTCACCAATCCTTCTGGTATTTTATCCTCATTGATAGTACTGGTCTCCATGATTGATAAAGCGAAATTTCATGCAGGTTTTGTGTGATACTCTACTCCTTTTTCATGTCACTGTTGTGCAGTTCGCTGATTCCACAAGAATACGACGCAATGTATTTTTGCTGTACAAAATACGTTCGATCAGAATCGCATCGCGAGAGCACCCAGCAAAATGGCTAGCTCTCGAAATTAAAAATAGTTCGTGTGTGCGTTCATGTGTACAATGTATTATTGTCAGTTTCTCCCCATTTTCCCATGAGTTTTCCCCCCGGGTTTTCCCTCTGGCTGCATGGTTGCATGTGCACTTTGTAATTTATCTCACAATAACTATTGTTTAGGAATTTATAGATGGATCCAGGATTCATTTTTTAAGGCAAACGTTTAAGTCTGACAAGCGAGCAAACAATTTATATAATAAAGAGGCCCTATATTTTTTTCTGAAAAGGGTGGGGTCTCAACATTTTCGGGTCTTCATATTTTCATTTGCCTTCTTGTCCAAAATATTGCGGGGGGGGGGGAGAATGCACAATTTTGGAATTTTCTTTTTCTTTGTGCAGACTGAAGATGCGAGATTGTGTCTAGCCGAAAAAGAGGGATGGGGCATATGCCCCCCCCCCCCCCGAATCCACTACTCGACTTACAAATTATGCACAATGTACGTAACAGTGTTGCCAGGTAGGTATACCAGCAGGATAATATCACCAAACAGCATGAGAAAAATCACCAGAAATTGCACAATTAACCCCCCAAAATAACCAAATTTTAAAAATGCCCGATATAGCCAATGTTCATTTAAAAAAAACGTTTTGAAACTGCCCCAAATGTGTGTGTCGGGAATAAAATATTACCGGCGGTTGGATAATGTGCGCCCAAGGCCCATTATATGCAGGGCCGTAGCCAGAGTGTGATGTTTTTTGGGGGGGAGCATACACGTAATTGATCGACGTCCTGGGGAGGGGTCTAAAAAAGTGGCCGATCTGATAAAAATTTGGGGCACGTGCCCCCCCCCCCCCCCTCCTAGGCTACGGGCCTGCATATATGAACTCCTCATTTGATGACAGCTCGTCAAAAAATAAGTTTTTCTCTCACTTACTCATTGATATATACATTTAATTTATTTAAATCACAAACAAATCACACACAAAATTGAGTTTAGTGACAAAATTGAATTTTTACTCACCAAGGCTTTTCTTAAAAGTCACCGAATTTGAGATTTTGGGTAATCGAGACGACCATCTTAAACACTTTCATCTCAAAATCATTTTTTTTTTGCCCGATGTGGCAAGTATTGGCTTGCTTTTTGGGGCCAGCTATTAGGCCTAGATCTAAAAGTTCTCATCCGAGTTCGTTTAAGAAAGATAAAGTTAGGGTAAATTGCCAAGATATCCCCCAATATCTTCATTGTGCACTACAAAGGCTAAACATAAACGGACCAATAATTCTTTGTATTTTTTAATAATTTTGTTAAAACCTTATTGTCGTCAAGATACAGGCAATCTCTTCAAATTTTTTATTTCAAAACACAATATTCAAATATCAGGCTAATAATGAATAAAAGAGGGAGACGAGAAACTGGGAATCAATAATTCGATTCTATTTATTTGGCCTTTGTACTATTTTTTTGTTTTTAAGTCATGTTTTTATTCAATGATTAATAACACCGTTAATACAACTCTGTAAAGCGCTTAGAAACATTGTAATAAGCGCTATATAAATATAATGTATTATTATTTATTATTAATATAATTATGTATGTGATATTCACTATAAATATTCAGGATCGAGACAACTGATATATTTTTAAAAAATATATATATATTTTAAAAAAATATTTAAAACTTCTAAGATTGTTGTTGTTTTTGTTTTGTTTAAAGTGCAGATTATATTTGAGACTCTTCAGGGCGTCGCTACACGGGGCCATTGGGGTGTGCCGGCACCCCATTAATATGCAAATTCGTCAGACACCCCCCTCCCCCTCCCCATCCCCCTCCCCCATTCTCCATTCAAAATGGTCTGAAGGCGGCCTTGGATTTATTTCCCATTTTGTGTCTGAGCAATAATAATTGTACAATATCAAACAAAGATAACAAATTGAGTAGAAGGATTGTAAAATTCATTTTGTGATAGTGCTATGTAAATATTAATTATTATTTTTATTATTATTAAATGATTGTTATTAGGAAATTGTTGTTAGAATTATGTATCATGTATAACAGTGTTGTAACTTGTAGAGTTGTAGGCTATGTTAACATTTCTTTTTGTTTTTGTTAAGCACTTAGAAATAATGTATTAAGCGCTTTATAAATGTAATATACTATTAGGCCTACTATTATTATCATCATCATAGGCCTATTTTTAAAGGTAAATTATTTATTAATTTTTAAATCTATTTTGTTAACTGAAACTTGGTATCACTATCATGGCAGAGACTTATATATAATGAATTTGGGGAAACGTTTAAGGCGGGGAAAGAAGGAAAAGTTTGCTCATCTTTTGTTCCCATATTGCAATTTATCAGCTGACTGACTATAATGTCTTTAAAGAACTATCATACTTTTTGGTTTTTGTTTTTAATTTTTAAATTTTACTCAACTGCTTTGTATTTTCTCATTTGATCTAATTTGTTATGATTTCGTATCTTTGTAATTATTTGTAATTCATCTTTTACCATCAGGAGGAGCTTTAATGTCAACTTTGCCCTATTATCCTTTAATTTCCTTTCGTATGAGAAATGGAGAAAAACACTTGTACATCGGTACATGTTATGAAGGTCTCCTAAAGTATTGATGGCTAAAGTTGTTCCCCCCCCCCCTCCCCATTGTTGCACTAATAATAATACTCCATCAAATTTGGTAACAAGGAGTCTTGTATAGTGGTAGTATAGTGGTTAGATATTTGCCTTCTATACCGGGAGACTAGGCAGGGTCGGATCCAGCCAGCGACGAGGGAGGGGGCCTAATTCGTGAGAAAATATTTCGAGGGGGGGGGGGGGGGGGTTGGGTAATGAACACTAACAAAAAATATATATATTTGCTCAACGGATGGGGGGGGGGGGGGTTAGTGAGCTCTGTTTTTTCACTCACCCCCCTTCCTCCTTGAGCAAAAAAAAAAAAAAAGTAATATTGGTTACCCTTTTTTTTTCTGCCAGGAGGGGGGGGGGGCTGTCTTTTTGTCGTTATTTTTTTACTAGGGTTGGGAGCACGGGCCCCCGGCCCCCCTGGATCCACCCCTGAGACTAGTTTCGAATTCTTGTAGAGGTTTAACCAGGAAACTCCCTGATAACTCTTTAACTGATTTGTTTTCAAAGTGACCCATTTACCTTTTTTGCATGATAAGTGCAATTAAATTCAGTGACACCGTGATCATATCAAGTAGTCTTAGTAGCCTATAGTGGTTAGACAATCATATAAAACGCTAGAGACCATGTTTTGAGTCCAAATAGAGGAGTTTATCAGTTTTGGTTGGCTTCATTGAACCATTGCCCCAAACCACTTCTTCTTCTCCCTAGCTAAACTGCATAAACCCCGTCCCCAACTCCTCAACCCCTACCCCTCTCCCCAATGAGACGAAGAGCGCCATCTTTGCTGACGTTGCGTGCATGTGTGATTTATTATTCTACCATAGAAATCTCGTATAGTGATAATGTACAGCAAAAGCATGTTGAGTAAACGTGTTCATATAAGGAACCCGCATTCGCGACGGATCGGACCGCCTGGATCACTAGCAGAACTATATCAGATCATTCATGCAGCCGAGTTTAGGACAGAGACGTCCACGAAAACGTGTAAGCATTTGGAGGAGTTTAAAAAAGAAGAAGATAAGGTGTCAATACTAATTGATATTTATGATAGTAACTAATAATACTAATAAGTAATGATTGATAAGATTGAAGGGTTGTGTCGTGTGTGTCCGTAACTCCAGGAAGCACCGACGCCGATGCCCGACGCCGCCGATGCCCGACGCCTTCGTCGGCGTCGAAGCTCCCTGGAGTTAGATCTAGACCCTAGTGTGTCCGAAGTCCGAACACTTTTATTAATATTTTTATTATTAACAAAAAATGATAAAGCCTTCTCTTTTGCCTTCAGCAAACAATGTCTAACTTCTAAGCGGTACCCTTTGGCCTATCGATTAAGATTCCCTTTTTCTTATGTTAATTGAGAAATGAGATAGATTGTAGAGCTGACATGAAGTCATGATGATTAGTGATTTGAGATAACCACCTGTCAGTGACCATGCAGGCTAGGTAGGTAGGTCTAATTTACTAGACATAGAAAGGGTGCTGCCTTGGTGTGTTCAACGCAGTAACGCACCCTTTCAAGAAAAGCTCACCCCCCCCCCAGCTTGTCTTGGAAGTGTGCGTCAAGAACGGAGTACCGCCTTAACACACCCTTAGCCTTACTGGATAAGCGGAGGCACTTTTCTTGAAGGGGTGCGTTGACTAGTCTTCCACATCATGCATCAGTTGTTTAGTCTAATAGAATGGAATTTAAGGAATAGAAATTGTAGTCGTTTAAATTGGGCTCAACAGCCAATCAAAATCAAGGTTTCCATGGTAGATACCATTGATGGCAAAGTTACCATCAATGGTATTTTTTGTGCAATGGGGCCCTCGTGTATCTTATTTTGTTAAAACATTTACCAATCTGTCTCTCTGTTTGTCCTTCTTTCCTTTAATGCACCCTTTATTTAAAGGTAGGATTTTTTTTTAAAACTAAAGCTAGAAGTCTAGTTTCAATGCTATGATCGACTGCGTGTACACATACAGCCGACAGGTAGTCTATATAAGATTGCCCCTCCCTGCCCCATAATGCACCAATGTACTCATGTTCATCTAACTGACTGTTTCATTTCTTGTTCTGGTTTTCCAGGAAAAGTACACATATTTGCACCATGGCAGCACCAACCAATCCAGCTGATGAATTAGGCAACCGGGTAAGCTAACGAGCAAGATAAATGTTGAGACTAGAACCTTCATGATCAATCAACTTTTCTTTTTTTAAAGGACAGGCAGTATGTCTGTGGCTGTTTGGAATTGTATTCAGTTCCCAGCACACGTAAAGCCCCTCTAAAGTGTTGGGAGCCCCAAAAATTTGATGGCAAAATTTTACTTAGAATCTTAGATTATATCACAATGTGAAAGAGAATGTTATGTAAAATACATTTCTGCAAGGATTTTCAAAAAAATGTATTTGAAGTCAAATTTTGATGAAAGAATACAAATCTTAGGTTTTCTGCATACAACAGAAAACCCCAATTATGTATTCTTTTAACATTATTTGTCTTCAAACTAGTGCTGTAGTCAAACGTTTAACCGTCCGGTATCCGAACGCCCATGGCGGATTCCGTTTTCAATTGGACGGTTTCGTTTTCCCGTTTTTTTTAATTTTTTTTTTTATTAATTTTTTTTTTTTTTATAATTTTTTTTTTTTTTTTTTTTTTTTTTTTTTTTTTAAAGTTTCGATTTATGCCCCTCCACCTGGCACTATGCCTGGCAATGTCTCCCAGCTCAGTAGTCGGTGTGATGACTTACCACTTGGAAACTAGAACAACACTCCAATTTGTCTGTCATCTTGGTTTGAAAGTAATATTTGTAATAGATCTCAATATATATTCATCCAAGTTTAACACATGGTGTACCACAAGGTTCTATCCTAGGTCCTCTACTGTTTTTAATTTACTTTAATGATCTTACACATTATTCTAAAACGACATTGTTACTATTATTTGTGACTAGTTCACAAGCACAAATCGGCGCCTTCAGTTAAATCACCTTCCTGCTTTTTCACACGGCCAAAAAAAAGAAAAAAAAAAAAAAAGATTTTTTTTTTTTAATTTTTTTTTAATTGTTTTTTTTTTAAAATAAATCGTTTAACCGAAAACCGTCCGGTTTTGACAGGCGGTTAAACGGAATTGGAGATATCCGTGATGTTACAGCACTACTTCAAACACCTTTTTTTGGGGGGGGGGGGGGGATCTTTGCAGAACTGTGTCTTGAATGTTCCTCTTTCACATTATGATACAATTTAAGTTAAATTTTGCCATCAAATTGTTGGCGAATTTAGGGCTCCGAACACTATAAAGGGGCTTTGTGATGTTGATTACGTTACCTATTGTATGAATTAAAATATTTAACTTAACTGAAAAATTAAATTGAAGAAAAAAAATTCTTTTCTGATTACTGCATCCTCTCTCATGCAGTATCCTTAAGGATTAATTAATGCACTTCCTAATGTGGATCTTAATGTTTTATGACTGTTTACTATGTCATTACATGTCTATGATCTCAGATGATGTGAATTTAGTCTAGATACAAGGTCTAAATCTATTTGATATTGATTACTTAACTTAAAGAAAAGGTAGATTTATATTTTCTCAAATTCAAGGTAACAACTAATTTGTGAGATTGTTTTATTTCCATGCAGAAGAATATCTAGAGAAACTTCTCATGAAAAAGTTAGCTCTTGAAATGCTCTCATATTTCAAATGTGCCCAGAAATAGTTCGCAACTATGCCGCATGATTATGTAGTCCCATCTACCCATATATATCTGTGTCCAATGTTTTTGAAATTGTACTTGGTTTTCTTGTGGCTTTGAGTCTTCCTATTAACAGTATAATATAACACATATAAACTGTGGACAGTTTCTTTCACATTGCAATTGCCTTCTACTCTACAGGAAGATGTGGAGCTTGCTTGGGCCGTGAAGGCTTATCACCATGCTGAAACATACTTCAATGTAAGTGCATTTGGAACTTGAAGCTGACAGAAACACACTATAGTTTGTTGATGTAGAATTGGTAATAACAGAAATGTACTTCCATGTTAGTGGATTTAGAACTCGTAATGAATAGAAACATACTGAAGTTTGCTGATTTGGGACTTGTAACTAACACTAATGTCCTTTGGCAAGACATTGTTCTACATTTGCCATACTCCACCCAGGTGAAGTAAATGGTTACCTGGTAGGAATTTATTCCTTGAAATGCTGGAGTGCTGTAATGGCAGCTAGGCGAAAGCCGGGGTAATAATAAATGCGCCTTGGAATAGAATTTCTAGATAGACGGCGCTATAGCAATGCCTATTATTATAATAATTATTATTATTATGTATTATAAATGTTTTGTGTTTTGTTTTCGTATACAGTTGATATCATCATTGGACTCAACAGCATTGAGACTGACGAAGCATGATGATGAAATCCATCAGCATTTTAAGCATGACTTTCCTGATATGAAGATTGACATCATTGATCCAGATGATCTTAAAAGTGATGAAGCAAAAAAGGTAAATCTTCTTATTATTTATTTGGTTACAGTTTACCTTTTTGTGTTGATATAGGAGCTCCAGGCCTGGTGTTGTAATATTGTAGTTTTCTCAAAGCCATATTTGTGCGTTAAATGTATTTCCAGTACTTTTTGCACATCACTATAGCTATTTGGAGCTTTTAGACCTGAATTGCGTGCGTACTGCTCCAAATTTTATGTTCATGTTATGTTTGCATATTTCTGTTGTTATCATGTTTGATTAATTTGGGTAATAAGAATTAGTGTCAGTGGGTGGTATTCTCATAAGTTAAGCCACGACCAAATCCAGACTAAACACAAATTTTAGTTCACACTTCTATGGAATGCTTGGTTTCATCTTCCTCCTTCAATATTCATGACAAAGATAATCTACCAAAGACTTTGTTTAAATTCAGATCATACTCATATTATCTTTTTCTTCCCATTTCATTGCAAAATTATTTTTTTGGACATTATTAAAATAATCTGTACAGGGTAAATGAGTTGGCAACAGGCACTCCATAAAAGTGTGGACTAACTTAGTATGCTCTACCGGAATACCACCCCATGTTATCTTATTATGATTGCCCATATTCTCTTTGTATATACTAGAACTTTTGTACATTGACATTGATCATCTCAAGAGTTTCCAACGACCACAGCATGGATCATTGGTTGCATATATTTACACTCAATAATAGTTCAGACTGAATCGAGAACATGAAATAAAATGCACACAAGTTAACTTTAATGTACTCTGAACTTCCATGTGTGCCAAACCATATGCAAGTCCATTGAAAAGTCCACTCAGGAGTGATCTAATCTTACTTCTGTTTAGAATCTAATTATGGCATTTAACTTTGCAATGTACATGTATGTTTACAGATCTACATGTATGTAATATTGAAAGCTGATTACAAGTATGTGGGATAGTGGATACAACTACAGAACACCAACCTTACAGAACACCCCCTCCCAAAAGAAGAAAAAGAAAGATTTTGGTGACTGTTCCTCATGTAAGGTCTAATATTTCTATAGATAATGTTTTTATTATTTTCATCTCTTTTTCTCGGCTTGATATATTTGTTCCTCAGAAATGGCGAGTGTTTTGCAATCATTTTGATGGGACAGTAGAAGATTTCAACTACGGAACTATTTTGAGGCTAAATTGCACTGAAGACTACTCAGAAAAAAACTCCATTTTTGGTAAGTAGGTTGAAACTTTTACTTACCTGACCTAGCAACAAGTACTGTGTGGAAGATTGAGAACCAAAAAGGCTTGAACTCAGATATACTTTAACCTAGAGTTAGCATTCATCTGGCTCTCAACTGGTGGGATATCTAATTTCAACCAATGAAATACCTGGTAGTACTGTAGTTCAGAACTCAGAATCTGTGTCTGGTTTGGCAGGCTGATAAAACATCTCTGTCTGCTTTTGGAGAGGCCAGACATGAGAAATATCGCTAATGCTCTGGTAACTTTTTGGTTTTCTTGTAACCCCCCCCCCCCCCACCCACAGCACACACATTCTCTTCCAATGTGTAATGCTATGGCTTTTGTTGTTGTGTTTTGATGGTAGATTAGTGGGAGTTTTTATACCAGTCAGGTGTTTTAAGCACTTGACTGGGGATGCAAAGGTTATGGGTTTGAGCCTGAAGGCCTTTGGCAAGACGTCGGCTTACATTTGCCATTCTCAACCCGGGTTTAGTAAGTGGGTTACCTGGTGAGATTATCCTTTGAAAGACACTGCATTGGGAACAGTTGCTGGAGCCACGCCAGGGTAATATTTTTCCAAAGCTCTGAGGAAACATACAAACATTATATCATAACATGTGATATGTGCCCTACAAGAATGGAGTTGGAACTATCAAATGTTATGAACTCATTGGCTCAGTGAAAAAAATACACGGGGGCTCGGGGCGAATTTGCCCCCGAAATGCCCAAAAGAGCCCCCGAAAAAAGCCACCCAGTTCCTTTAGGCAATGATGTAAACTATTATTCAATGTTTGTTTCATTATGCCATGCACAGTGACCAGAGTCCAGTTCTTTGCCATCGAGATCGCTCGGAATAGAGGAGGTTTAAATCTAGCTCTAAGGAAGGTGTCTCCAAAGGCAACAGAGAATAAAGAAATGAAAGAAACACTCACCAATCCTGATGATGCCAAAACAGAGGAAGTCGCTTCATAGCATATGGTCTAGACGCCATGAGAACTGTACTATATCTTATCTATATTTATCATCCAAACCAGCAAGATCAGAATCTCAAAGTGGACTTCTTGTAAAGAGCCAAACATGTGTAGCTATATTTTTGTCATGTAGTTTATTGCCATCTAAATGAGAATAGAAGGTATCCATTATATTGTAAGCTCTACTCCGTTATAAAAATTATGTTAGCTGACATTGAGGATACAACAAGGATTTAACAAGGGTCTAGGGATGTTATATCCTTTCCAAGATTGCTTTATAATTTCATGTGGGAAATTCTTGATTATTTTTGGAGGTGAATATATGTTATTTATGCAGACGATATGCATGCAGTATAAAATGAAGAGATGTTGCATTCTCTTCTCTTGCTTCTCTTGAAGCTATCCCGCTTGATTACGTTCAGGTCGTCTTCCATATCAAATGCATGCAGCTAAGAGGATGCAAACAGTGGGTATGCATACTGTTGCTTGGTTATGTTGTATGGTACCCTATTTTATGTGATATACCATGCAAAAGAAGGGTGTTATGTAGTGCACGTTCATGCGTAACAAATTATGGAGTGCTGCAAGATTATTTATATTTTCAGCTAAGAGGGTGTTCTCTAATACATATTTTGTGTCATGAAAAGAATAAACGAAACGAGTCTTGAAGCAGTGGGATAAAATATATCCAAACATTTAAAAATACCGGGTACTCAAATCTTTAAACTCAGCGTTTATTTATGCTGTCTGCTACCAAGAATCTTCTACAAACCTATACATGTACATGAATTTTCTGTGGGGGAATTAATAGTGGTCGTTATGTACAGGTGGTCATTATAGACGGATGGTCACTAAGGCAGGTTTGTCTGTAGCTTCATTTTTTAAACTGAATACAGAAAATACTATACATGAATCTTACAGTTGAGTGTTAAAAATCTGTGTTGATTATCACTGAATGTATCTTTTAACCACAAAAAGCAAATGAAAGCATCTAGGTATCGCAGCTTATTCAATTTTGCTATATAGTGTATATATATATGCCAGTAGTATCGTATGTTGATAGATAAAAGCTGTAAGAGACTCTGGTTTACAACATTGGACAAAGGGGGTAAATGGGACAAATACATTTGTAAAATTTAAGCATCAAGTTTTTATTCATAACATTTTGCTTGTTCATATTGAAGTTGATAGTGTTGCATGCCATTTTAAATTGTCCATACCATTTCGATTTCCAAGAAGAAAGGCAATCTTTTTGGCCTGAATTCACAAAGGAGGTTTGTTGACAAACCAAGGTTTATGTGCACCATACGACACGTTTTGACACGTTTTTACAAACCTTGGTTTGTAAAAAACAAAAGGTTTGTCGAAACAAAAGGTTTGTCGACAAACCTCCTTTGTGAATTCGGGCCTTTATGTTTGAGATTGTGTGTCTGTAAAATGGTGCCTGGCTGGAAAGTTCACCAGGTTGCACTGTTTTTTGTTCATGACTTTTTGAAATGTGTTTTGCCTGTAATACTTTTTAACATGAAATGTAATCATTGGAAATCTTCTGCTTCTCCATTTGATATAGGTTTTATTTTTGATCTAGTATTGGAGAGGCATTGACAATTCTTGTTTTCTTCTTATCAGTAACTTGCTTTAAATCATAAAAACTGATTGTAATGCAATCATTGCCTGAAATTTCTCTGTTAAATGTACATGGTGCAGGTACATGTATAGCACATAAGATGCTATAACTTTTTTGTGCCCTCGATCAATCTTATGTCTTGGTAGTAGCTATCGGGTCTTGGGAATGAGCTTTACATATGATACGCGTAAATAGTCGCTTATTATACAAATGAGTTATGATGTATGTGGCACAGTAATTGTAATCATGATTAAAATGTTTTTAAAAAACTCTGTAAAACAAATGGTAAATGTCTACATTAGTTGTTCTTTCTTGATGCAGTAATGAACGATGGTTCAGTGGAAACAGGAAATAGAGAGGGATGAGAGAGAGAGAGAGAGAGATGTAGAGCATGGGAAAAAGTGAAAAGTTGTAGAGAGAAGGAAGATGAGAAGAGAGGGAGAAGAGGGAAAGAAGGTAAGATTATGGAGTGCAAAGCAAAGGTGCTGAGAGGAGAGGGAAGAGGTGAAAGGATGGAGGAGAAAGAGAGATGGGAAGAGTTGAGAGGGCAAAAAAGAAGAAATGGAATAGAACGGGATTTGAAATTAAAAAATATACTGAAATTCCAAAATGAAAATTTTCTCCACTGTCATCTATCTATTTATAACAGGAGAGTCATTTTCTTTCTTATAACTCTACATTCATTTCTCTCCTTTTGCTTTCTCTTCTTAGGTCTTTAACAAAATCATCTCATTTTGAGTTTGCTATATCAAGAGATTTACAGCAGGCTTACGGTTGCACCATGTGAGAGAGGGGGGATTGGGGAGTCCTGATAAGGAGCCACTCCTACCCATACTCTCCAACTATTAGAACTATAAGCTTGAGAAAGATCACCAAAAGTCCTCCTCAGGACCACACTTACACTCAAGAAAGAAAGATTACCGATAGTCCTTTTCAGGACTCCCCATTTATCCCCCTCTCTCTGACATGGTGCAACCGTAAACCTACTGTATATGTACATCACCATGCAAGGCGATACTTATCATGAGCAGCATCAAACAGATGGAATGACAGACACATCATTTGAATAAATAACTTTATGAAGAAAATCTGGCCTTCGGTATAACAAACAGACAATTAATTTAGCATCAAAATATTTTGCACATTTGTCATATAAATGCATCGCTGTTTAAAAAGTCATGGTCATTATAGGAACTCCAGTTTACTTTAAAGAAGGTCCATTAAAAACCCCATACAAACTAAGCATAACGCTAATTCACATTAAATATCTTGATGTTTCTTTCCATCAACCTGTTAAATATGATTTTTTTTCGAAGTGACACATATTTTCATAGACCTCCCCAGTTATCTAAGGCTTAGTACTTAACAGGTGAACAACATGACAAGATCAACATATTAATTCTGTTTGGACAAAGCTATATTAATTCTTGAAGGATTTCACTTGTGAGAACAAAGTCCCAGAAAAGGATTAAAATCCACACACAAAAAAAATCAAAAAAACATGAAGACCACTTCAGGTGGGCAATTGAAAGATAAATCAATGAGCTTTCTTTAAATACTCATTTACATATTAACAATGTGACAAGAATTTTTTTAAAATTCTGATGGCAAAAACATTATAATCAGCACAGAGTACATCAAAATATGTATTAATGTTGATCTTCTTGTAAATAGATTATTTTGTGTAGCACCCTCCATACCAAAACTCAAACTATCCCTTTAAACACCTTTCCTAGAAATGGTTAAACCATGACAGAAAGGAATGTAGGACAGTGACGAAAGTCTCATTGGACAAAGTTTAGGGGATGTCCAACTGTAAAAATTAAATCAAACAAGAATTTATGGTTGAGACTCTAAATTTGACCCTGAATTTGCTGAGAGTAGTTGATTACACCCGCTTTACACAGTCTTTGGAGTCTTACAACTCAAATATCTGACTTTCTAATGCAGCCACTGCTTCATGAATGTACATCCAATCTAGCCTAAAGAGGGCAGCACAGTGTTCTAGAAGCCATTGATAAGACTGATGGAAAGGTCTCCATACCGACGGCTCTCCATCTCTCTCCATACTCGCCTTAGCTTGATGAACACTGAGTGGCTTATACCTGGTGTAGGACACACTGTATGAAGGTAGTCCTGTGGTGTCAGACACACTATGACTGACATTGCTAGAATCAGGAGCCTTTGTCCTTGAGAGCACCATCTCTTTCCATTGATCATAGGGTAGTTCTTCAAGGTCACTTTGACCCAATGAGTCGGATCCAACATCTAACAAGGCCTTTCTTTGGTTTCCAAGTTCTATGTCATCCTCATCTTTCCTTGTCTTCTTTTTCTTTCTCCTGACATCCTTTGAAGTGTCTTCAGAAGCTGCAGCTAGGTCAGGATCATCTTCATATTGACTGATTGAGGCCATTCCTTTTCCATTACTTACAGATTTACTCTCCCTTCTCTTCCTTTTTCTGTCTCTTTTTTCACTCGCAATAGCACTATCCTTTGCCTTCAGTCTGTCATCATTCAACACACTTTCTGGATCCACTCCGTGCTTCTCGCAGAACTTGGTTAGATTCAAGAGATAATCTAGACTGCTCTTGGAGAAATCACATGATGCTAGCGCTCTCTTAGAGATCCAGTGGACATCACTTGATGGATTGGATGGAGCACCTTGCCTCAGTGTAGTACCTGTCAGCTCTGTTTTTGTATCTTCTTCTAGCCTCTCATTGAGACCACTCAGGGAGTATGGAAAGCTACTTGGAGCATTGATAGTGTATGGAATGCGGCCTGGTTCCACCTGATCTCTCACTTTCATGAATGGTCTCTGCATCTTACTTCCAAGGCTTTGACCTGGAATTCAATCAACACACATTTGAAAACTATTACATTAAATGGGAAACATGATTCTAGTTTCAAAACACAGATAAGGATATTCAGCTTTAATGGACAATGGTAATATTGTGTCCCGACTCTATTATTGATACACAAATTATCTGGTATGATTCAACAAAGAAGTTTTAACTACAACTCAAACATCATTTTTGTCTCGCTTGTCTTGCCTGCGTAGCAAAAAGCGAGACATAAGCGCCGCTTTTCCGGTGACGGCGGCAGCGACGGCGGCGTCAACATCAAAAACTTAACCCAAGGTTAAGTTTTTGAATTTTTGATATAATTTTAAAGTATAAGTTCTTAGTCAATAAAACTTTGACTATAGGGTAATCAAGTATCCCCAATAATGTGAGTAGAATTTCAGATCACAGAGTCAAGGTCAAAAGTCATTTCAGGTGAACAGACGTGGACTATGTTGTAGCATCATCATCAAAAACTTAACCTAAGGTTAAGTTTTTGAATTTTTGATATAATTTTGAAAGTATAAAGTTCTTAGTCAATGAAACTTGGACTATAGAGTTATCAAGTCTCCCCAATCATGTGAGTGGAATTTCAGGTCACTAAGTTAAGGTCAAAGTTCATTTAAGGTCAACAAACTTAGACTTTGTTGTGGCATCAACATCAAGATTTTCAAAATGCTCCTTCTTCGTTATTTTTCAACAAATTTTTTATTCTGATTGTTTCATATGATAGGGCTATGAGGGGGATTTAAAATTTCTACACAGAATCATGAAATTCATTATCTATGCTAATTTGTGCAAATTTATTCGAAATCACAAAAAAGGCTTCTTCTCCTTCATTTCTTGATCGATTTTGATTTGGTTTGCTTTATATCGTAGAGCTAACTTTGATACACCAAACTTCTACACAGAATTTTGAAATTGTTCTCCATTAATTATTTATGGTAATTTATGCAAATTTATTCCAAAAATAACAAGAATTGCTTCTTTTCCCTCATTTCTTGAACGATTTTGATTTGGTTTGCCTTATCTGGTAGAGCTAAATTTGGAACACTAAACTTCTACACAGAATTGTGAGATTTTGCTCCATTAATTATTTATGGTACTTTATGCAAATGAAATGAAATTATGTCCCTTTCAGGGCATCAAATTTTTATTTTTTGACCGGTTCAAAAGTGTACCACATAAAATTTACGATATTTGTTGTTGCGAGATGGGGATGAGCGCTACGTCATTGACGTTATGGTTTATCATATTGAATTGCGTTATGCAGGCGAGACCGCCAAGAGCGTTTCCCTTGTTAGAATAATATTAGGGGATAAGATATGTCATACAAATTTCTGCAAATGAATTTCACTTCCTTCAAGTATACAATGAGCAAACTTCAGTCTGTTAATAGTTTCAACTTTTGAGTTACCAACAAGGGAGTAAATGTCATGTTTTACACCTAGAACAAGCTAGCAGTGAAAGTTAATTAAAACAAGTTTGGAGTTGGTTTGACTGAATCTTTGATGTGATCAGGATGGGGAGTGAGCTTACCCTGATACTTGTGGTGCTTATTGAGACCTTCTCTCTTAGAGCCGAGTAGGAATGCCTTGGAATGCTGATTGACGAACCTTGGTACATCACTGACCTCTCTGTATGCTCTTCATAGAGGAAACAACATTACATTTGACTTTTAAATCTAATCAAGACCAATTTCATAACAATTAATTAGATAATTAATGATTGTCACAGTAAAAATTTGAGCACAACTTATTGATGATTGGCTGTGTGGAAATGGATCTTAAACACATTCAGTACAATTTCATGACACCAATAACATATTTTTCTTTCATCAATTAGAATTTTACATGATTCTTGAAAGGAATTATTCCAACTGTATTAATAACTCAATTAAAAATAATTATATTTTCTTTTAATTAAATTGCAATGTTTGAAGCATATTATTATTAGTAGCCCTCTTGGGAAAATGACTGACTTTGATAAGACTACCCCCCCCCCTATAAACATATGTGTCTTGTAATATGATATCATTGGCCTTTAACTAGAGTAGACCCTTTCATACTCATTCATGTGTTGTTTCTCTTCCTACATCTTCTAGTATCTTTAGAATAACTTACTGAGGGTTGACAATCTTGGTGTTAATCTGATGATGTTTTGCTCTAAGTTTCTCACTAGCCATCCATTCAGCCCATATAAATAGGGCTACATTACCACCTATGAAAAGAAAAGCGAACATCTTGATCAATTTTGAATAATGCCATATCTTTCTAAAGGGAAATGTAAAGGTCTAATTTGTTTATAATTATCGCAAAGTTTTCACTCTCTTTACAAAATAATCTGTAAAACAATTTACAACACAAGCCCCACTCCTTTAAAAAAAAATTAAAACACATTCAGAGATAGTTAGTTAGCATGAATGGCATGTGGGGATGCAAAAAAGTAGCAATGTTGACCAAATGTCATATGCAAACTCACTTTCTTGTGTTATGTGATACAAAATATGATGTGCGCTATAGTTCAAAGCCCTCATGGAAATCAGTGGTGGATTACTGTGCCAAATGTGAACAAGCCTTAAAGATAAACTTTAGTACTGGTAATGCGATTGCATTGTGAAAGAAAAGGTGTGAAAGGATCAGAAACAGTTGATCATGTAGCATGTAAGTATTGGTGTGCACTGCAAGGTTCTGGAGTCATCAAAATCATCATAAATTTGACCGAGTCTTGGTAAAGTAACAAGCACTCACATAGAAAGCTATATATGGGACAACACACATGGTGTCGGGGCTAGTACTACCTTGATTTCCTTGTCTTTCTATGCTCATTACCCAGCCAGTATACATTTTCTTCCAACATTGTTTGGCACATGTCATTTATTTGTATTCTTGAACATTCAGTGTAAGTTTCGTTTGATTCTGTGAGAATTAATTTTTTTTTTTACCAGTACTGGAGTTTATCTTTAATGTTAAAAAAAATGGTTGGTGAATCAAATCCTTATCTGTATCTTAGCAATCCTAACAAAACTGTTTAGGATGTTACCTGCAGGTAGTTTGTTTCTGATGCTTCTTCCTATCTCTGATGTCATCATCTCAGTCTGCCCATCCAATCCAAACAGGAGCTTCATAGCTACTAGGATGTAAGCCAGAGATGGACCCTCCTCAAACTCAAATCTCTTCTTTGTCTTCTTCTTGTTCTTGTTCTTCTTGTTCTTGTTCTGTGGCTGACTGGTGGTGTATGGATGCTTGGTCATCAGGTGATGGGTTAGCTGATGGAAGGAGGCTACAAAAACAAACAAAAAAGGAAACATTCTAAGATTATTTGGTGTGATACTAAAATACAAGGACAGAATTTGTCATTTACAGTAAGCATTTGATCATCATGTGAGCGTCTGTAAACTGACGCCTGGCTGGAATGCTCCCCAGGGAGTGGGAATGTGCATACACTGTGTGCAGACAAGGCTGAATGCGATGACCTGGGTAATAGTATATCTGTAAAACGCTTAGAGACATCGTTTATGTATGAAGCGCTATACAAAAGTGGAATGTTATTTTTATTATCAGGGTATGATCATTTCAAAGGAAAATAACCAGACTCACCAATGAACAAAATAGAATGATTACCTCATCTAGAGACATATTAACTTTAAGCTCACCTGGTAGATGAAGAGATAAGATGAATCGACTAACGACCAGGTCTAGCTTGATGTGATTCAAGGATGCTACATTTACCACATTAAGAACATGACTAACAGGCTCCTGAAGCTTGGATATATGAAGCAAATCCTGTGGTTGGAAAATAAGATGATGACGACAATTTGGAAATGGAAGAGCATTGCTTGCAAGAAAGTAAGAAAATATGTTTTAACATGTTCTCTATTCTATTCTTTTTATTTATCTTCTATATATTTATTTTAATCAAAATGCCACATAATTTTGGTTTCATATCCACAAAGAAAAAAAGGAAATATTATAAAGCCAGAAATTGCTGGAAATGTTCAGAATTTTCTGTATGGTTCAGATTCATGAAAGTTTCATGCCAGTGTGATACCACAAAGCAACAGAACAGCAACCAATACAAATTTGTGTTGTCGTTGCAATTTGCGAAAGTTTCTTGTAATGACACTGGCTATCTTTGACAATTTGTGAAAGTTTAAAAGAATTCTGGTTTTAGAGTCCAGACAGACTCTATTAAGCGGCTCTGACTAGAACATCCTCCTCCACATAATGACAGACATAACCTGCTTCATTCTGGGGAACACAGAGAACCCCATTTATCTGATAGAAGAGAGAAAATATTTGTGTCTGACTCACTGGTTTAGCTACGACAAAGAGATGACTACCAGAATGACCAAACTTGTTTGTTAGATGCTTAGGAAGTACATCACTGGTTCCATAGTAAGGGAGATGTCCATCCAGGGCCCATCTAGAGAGATGCGAGAAAGAAACGAGATAAGAGGAGTAGATAGAAAGAAAGAACCAAGATAAGAAAAAATAGAAAGATAGAAAGAAAGAAAGAACCGAGATAGGAGGAGAAGATAGAAAGAACAAACTCTTGTTCCATAAAAAAGGTAGTAAACTGTCTAAAAATATATATCATGGCAAAATGACAACTCATGAGAGATGTTGATAATTTGTATATCAACATACAGAATAGTGACTATGTGTAGGGAACTCCTGGTATGAATTTAATATTTTTCTTTAAAAAAGTATAATTCTCTTACACATGAAGTGATCATTCTAATTGTGCAGCATTTATTTGTAGCATGCTGATAAAAACATCCCCCCCCCAAAGAAAAATCAAAGTGAAAAATGTTGAATTTTATGCAAATTACTGTCATTAGAGTCTGTTTATCAAGATGGGTTCAGGAACAAATCTCTAGACAAACCTGATGAGGTCCGATATCAAGATTGGTTCACCAAGGAACTTGAGGGCAGCAAACAGGATTCCAAGGAGATGATGTAGACGGAACTTCATCTTTTTCACCAATCCTTCATCAGCAGGCCTACATGATAAAACAACATTCAAATATATTAATAATATTTGTTGGTAATTCTCCACATAATATGGTGGATATGTATATATATAACATCTTTAAAGATAAAAATGATATACACAGTTTACAGGAAATTGATTCAAGGCAAGAAACAAAAACTGTTCTGATGGATCGATTGAAATAAATATAGAAAAAAAATTCTTTCTTATTTATAACCTTATAATAAGGTAGTGAGATTATAAAATATATAAAGGACTATTTTCTTATCAGTAACTCAAAATATCTAATATCCCACACTTTTAACTTGTTTTTCTATTCCCTGTAACTGATTTGGTTGCTTTGTAAGAACTTGTCTGAAAAGCTTTGAAAGGTACACTCAATTTACTTTACACATGATGAAACAGAGCAATGTTTGTTCATGTTTTAATGGCTATTTTGTAAGAAAATCCTAATTAGATTCATGACTGATACAGAAAAGTTTCGCTGGTTAGGTGATTGAAACGTGCAGTTCAGGCTTCTACCAGACTTAAAGCCCCTCTAAAGTGTTGGAAGCCCCAAATTCGCAGGAAATTTGATGGCAAATTCTCACTTAAATGGTATCATAATGTAAAAGAGGATGTCATTTAAGACACACTTCTGCAAAGATTCCCCCCAAATGTGTTTGAAGACAAATATTGATAAAAGAATACATAATTTAAGTCTTCGGTTGTATGCAGAAAACCTAAATTTTGTATTCTTTCATCTATATTTGACTTAAAAAACAATTGTTCTGAAAATTCTTGCAGAAATGTGTCTTAAATGACATCCTCTCTCACATTATGATACAATGTAAGTGAAATTTTGCCATCAAATTGTTGGGGCTCCCAACACTTTAGAGGGGCTTTAACCTATCACATGTATGTTTGTTCATGAGTTTGCATGAATTGAAATTGCTTGATATAATATAGTACAGAGCTCAAGTAACATTTAGAGACGTATGATGATATCAAATACTTACCCATTCTTGCTTTTATTCCAAGTCACGTTCTGCATGACGAAACAAAACAGAGGGATGGAAGGATGGAGGAATACAGAGGGAAAAAGATGGGGAATGAGAGCGAGGGAAAAGGAGAGAAAAGGAGAGTGAGGGAAAGAGAGAAAAGGAGAGAGAGAGAGAAGGAGAGGTGTTTAAATACGTTTTTCCACTTTAACTTGAACATTTTTAAGCATTAGAAGTTAGCAACACTCAGTTGGCAATGACACATAGTTGCACTATGTGTATCTCTTTGCGGTCTAGTCTGGTAGCATTTCTTCTAAAAACAAACGTAAATTAATCTAAATCTCTAGAAAGGTTTTGAGTCTGCAGGCCTAGAAAGATTTGTCAGGAGCAGGTGCATTCTCATCATATAGAATGTTCTTGTCTTGTTAACATTGCCTGCTATAACAAAGACACATGTTCAATGTAATTCACCACAGTGATCAAGGCTAGGGTTTGGTGAGAGAGTAGTTTTCTTGGTGTTTTTAGTTGGCCTAAGACAAAGTGGATGGTCAATTTTTTCCAAATGGTATCGAAAGCTACGGGGACCAAAATTATCATACATATCTATCAAGCCTGAGGAATATGTTTTCTCCCTCAAATACATTGATTTCCTTTGGCAATAAAAATTCCAAGTTATTTAATTCATTATCTCAGCTGCAATTTAAGACTATAAATTCAACTCCTTTGTATATATTGAGTAACATAACATATTTCATAAATTCTTTAATCTATATTCATTTATGTTTATAATATCCCACTTTATCAGGGAAGCGGTTTTAACCCCCCCCCCCTTAAATATTTTTGTTTACAGCTGTGCCCTTTTTAGTTCTGTTATTATTCATTTATATATAGATGTATATATATATATATATATATATGTCATTCAAATGTTTTTATGTATGAAATTACATGTTTTTAATTTGATGTATTTTTTACAAATATTGTATACAAAGATGAATTCTAAATTGAAGTGAATTGAATTTCATGATTCCTTATTGTTGGTTAGTTTTATCTATTGAAAAAAAAAAACACTTACACATGTTCATTTGTATATTGTATTATATTTTATCTTCTTCAATTAGATTCATATTTATATTATTCACCGAAAATATGAATTTAAGTCAAAGGGCAATAAACCAAATTCAGTCAGATTAGTAATGACACAAAAATACACATTGTAGCATACAAAATAAACTATTGAGAAAAACTAGACAAAATGCCGTAGGTCTAAATAGTTTGGATGACAGTCATGTAAATAGACAGTCAGAGCTGAAATCAAGCAGATGACTGATTGCATTATAGGTACAAATAATGATATGCCTTTCTGCTCTTAACAGCCAGCCTGTATGTCTACTGTACAAGGTTAGAACGATATAAATTTTAAACTTTTCTTAAAGAAAGCAATCAAAAAGAGAGTGGATATGTGATTGAGCTGCTGATTAGTTTTCAAATATTTTTAACTTTCAAATGACTGTCCCTAGGAAGCTTAGAAGTTCTGGAACGAAAATGGAAATAATCAAACAAACCTTCATAACAATATCAGTTGATACAAGAAAAAACAAACTTGTCAAGTTTCAACAGTATCAGCTACTTCTCAAATTAGCAGCTGGTCTACAAGACTTTTCGAAACCATCAGCTGGTACAAGAAAGACATTCTTCACAATATCAGTTAGTTCTCAAAATATCAGCTACTTCTGAACAATATCAGCTTGTACAAAAAGAAAGCAATGCAACATGGAAACAGAATTTGAGATGCATTCATCAATTTGACAGGTTATGTAAATATTCATTGGATTGTTTGTTGGAATCTTTGACAAGCTATGGTGTACATCAATCTATCTGGACGCATGTGAGATACACCCAAAGGTCGGTCGGTCGGTCTTAGGTTTGTCCAGCCCGGCATGATTGACAATCATTTTAGAAGGGTATCATATTGCTATTTGGATGGCCGTAAGATGTTAATCATAAGCAGGCTAAGTGGCTTAGTGATAGAGAACGCAATCCATTGGTATGAATAGAATGTATAGACTTCATCTAGCATGACGTACAACAACCCTTCAAGAGCAACTCAAGCTTGTCTCCGTACTACTCAACAAATAAAACACTTTTACCGACATCAAAGATACAAGCATGTTCAAGGCTAGGGATACTTCTGAAAACGAGTGCCAGGCAGTACTCGGGAACAAACATTTATCTATATACCGGTAAACTATTAGTCAGCCTTTTTTGAGGCTGAACTAGTGAAATATATATCAAACATTTTGAGGCTTTAAAAGACTAGGCCTGTATGTAGCCTATATGTACAGCAGTGGCAAGTAATAATAATCTCAAAGAGTAATCTGGTTAATTTTCAACAACAAAAATTCTGGACAACTTTCATGAAGCGCAATACTTGAAACCCAGTGTATTCAGTGTAAATAAAAGGAAACAGTAATAAAAGTTTATTCCATCATGCCAGGTTAAGAGAGTTATTTTTTATATCTCAATTTGCTGCATACTCCAGCAGAACAAAACTTTGCTGTTTGGAAATGCAACAAATTCATGTTTGGAGTGTGACTATCAATACTTTACACAAGCTGAATGTTCCTTCTTATGTAAAGCTAGATTTCACAATTCATATCTCCATTTCCGTTTTCTCCTTCTTCTCAGAAAATTGCAAAGTTCTTGTGGTTTTCTTGGTATGAACTTAAAACCAAGGTTAATCTAAAGTGAACAATATAAGGTCTGTGACTGTCTAGCCAAACTCAGTCAACAATGAAAGAGATGATGAGAGTAATGATGCTGGTTGCTATGGTGATGCTGAGGATGATTAACTGAGATGAAAATATGTCAAACCAATCTGTATTAACTAGGTCAGCTGGTATAAACACCTATAAATGTAGACAATCCACAAGGAAGTCAATGTACTGTAACACATCTGCTGGTAAGTCATTTACTCTCGGTCAATGACATCTTCATTTTTATCTATCCCTTACCGGTATGCAAATCATAAGTTCCAATCGCTGTATCATATATTTCATTAAAGATGATATTGTAATGCCACAGTTATTCAGAAATTTAGTCATTTAAAAAAACACTTTCAAAGTTCTCCTGATATAATGTATGCAATAGCCAGGGGAAGAAAATAAAGAAAAAAGACCAATAAAACAAATCCCTCACTGAAAAGTGTCAATGCCAATTTATGCTAAATTTTCCGGCATATGATTATTTCCCCCCTAGATGATTCATACATCTTTAAATCATAAATCTTGATTTTATATCATGCAAGCGGTCCAAGCTTTGTCATTTCATATCTCCTGTATCTTAACATATCTAGAAGCAGGTGTAACATCAAGTCCTAGTCTCTAGGGTGTTTGTGAATCATCTCGTCACAGGAATATTCTTCATTAGCCAAACAAAGCTCAAGAGAGTGAGATGGATCAGCCCTTCTCATGGAAGTAGTACGAGGTTGAACATCGATCCCCTTCCCCATTAGCACCAGTCCAATGGTCTCGCTTGCGTGAGGAGTAATCTAAAGCAATAGAGCATCATGGGCATCTAAAGGTGATTTTATATTCATCAATGCAAGTTTGAGTTTGATATAGTGGTTAGTGGTGGTTATTTTACCTGACTGCTAAGAAGCATAAATGCTTGTTAGTAAGCAACCAGAGGACCGACGGCTTTGGGTCCACTCCAAGAGACCTGGTAATGAGGATTAATGCCTTATCAAAGCGCATCGACTTGGTCACCGGATTATACGAGACTACTGCTCTATATATTAGACCAATCAGTGCTTCTCATGAAAATAAGAGTTCTAAGTTCCCTGACTCTATTAATCAAACAATATCAAGTTAGCACCCCTGACAAAGACAGAGTGCATTTTCACTGGTAAATTTGTAAGCTTATTAGCCGATTGGCCAAATAGTGGGCTATTTTGCAAAAAAGGCCCCGATTTTGCCTAGGAGAAAACTTGGAACTAATATCACAGAATGCCAGTCCAATAGCTGGCTATTTGCATCTCCATGTTAATGCTAGCTTGAGCTAATTGTGATGAAATTAATCTAATTCCAAGGACCAAAATTGGCGGACTAATTTGAAACTTTGGGCTAATGAAAACAGGTCTTGATGGAAGTTGGGAGTGGGAGGAGGTGCTGTTCTAGATTATGCCTCAATGGATTATATCATATAGATGATTTCACAATATCACACTCGTGTTTTACACTTTCATATGCTGAAGATATGACCATGGTATGACAAGGCAGATTATTACATGTACAAAACATTTGAACATTGTTTTGCTAATAGTTTATAAATGTGGCTTGCAATAACAGAGTTATTCATCCTTTTCAGATGCAGTTTCTTCTAAAACTTGTAATAAAACTGAAATTGCCCTTATCAGAAAAAGCAGATACATTTTGACGCCAGGGCTCCATATCATCTTTCAAGGAAGGGTGTCCAGAGAAAAAAAATGTGTAGTTCATAAAATTGATATGCATGAGCCTGCTGAGGAATGAGTAATACCATATTGAAGGTAGCCCAATACATGTCAAGGAAACAAACTTGAAGAAAAAAAAATTGCTGTCCCCCCCCCCCCAATCAATTTTGTTGGCATTACCCAGTACTTTTTTTAACTGACATTGATAGATACTATCAACACAACAAACAGACTTTACAACTTCTGGAGAGGATTATTGTAACCTTACACTGTCCACTACGATCATTTCTCAAAATGACACATGTCACAGTTGAATAAATCCTTCTATCCTGTATCATCAAAGTTCGACTCACAGATGACAGAGCAAAAAGTGAGACACACCGCTCCCCTTCCATCCCCATGTGCCTCCGAATTGGCAAGGGGGCATGTCATTTTCATTGCTTTTCATTTTTTTTTAATGTGGGGGGGGGGGGGGGGGGTTTGCCCACTCTTTTTCAGAACCCGGATCCATCCCTGTCCCAACTTCTACATTAAGACTGTACATTGCAATGACACATACTCTAACACCAGCAACTTAAGCTACCGGTACATACAAAATCATGAATGTAACAAAAGCTTTTTCTTGACCAGATTTTCATTTAGAATCATTTAGTGCTATCAATTAAATTATTTTGCAGTACACGTGTTTAATAGAATATTTTCCAATCTGGACAATTTGCAATAACTATGAAGTGTCATGCAATGACTGTAAGGTATAGAAAAATCCAACTCTCCTTAAACATACCAATACCATGAGTAACATCAAAGAGTGCTCATGATCTATTTTGCAACTAAAACTAGTGAAGCTCATATTGGTATAATTTCCATGACAACAAATGGCAGTCTTATGGGGTTGATTAATACAAGCTGCCTGGAAGGGGGGTTTCACGAGTGATTTGGGATCAACTATGCTTGAAATCTATCAAGTAATGACCATGAAAATGTGCTCTAAATCTCTTGAAAATCAAACTGCTGACAGAAATCATACCTATTTGAGTGCAGGTGTAACTAATGGGAGGGGGAGGGCAAAGGAGGCATGTGCCCCCAACAAATTTTTGATTCCCCCATGCTTAATTGAATAAAATTATCTAAAGAACTTTCATACTGAGAAATTATTATTTTGTTGACCTACTGACAAACTTCAGGTTTTTCTCTGCAGAGATTTGTGAATGACCCATTCTCTCACCCTCCCCCGAAACACAGCACCCTGGCTATGCCACTGATTGAGTGGGAGTAAAAGACTATCAAAAGTTCAAAACTGGAACAATATGAGGTAAAGTTCAACATACTTTTTACAGCTGATTTCTCTGTGATTGAATGAATCTTGTTTTATCAAGGTTTCATACTGATCTTCATACGCTCACAATCATATTGCCCATAATCACATCTCTCAAGCAACATTTTAAACTATAAGAGAGAAGAAAAAAACCACAACAAGAATTCAACCTGATTTAATTTTTATGTCATGAAAAAACATTAGAGGGATATTCTTTCTAGAAATGAGGAAAATGTGACATCTGTCTTATCTCAAACAACTTGTCACTATCCTATGGTACATGTATACAAAAATTTGCTTTTATTTGTGAAATTTCTTAAAATAAATATAAGGATTTGGGAGATGATTCGGGGGATATCTCTTGTTTTTTGCAAACGGACAATTCTTCCATTAATATGCTATTTATCCTCTGTATTCAAATAACTTCATCTTCCTTCAAAATCACACAGTCACCTATTTTGTGTTTGATAACTTTGATTAATTATCACAACTTAAAGAATTGAAAGCCTTTATGATAGCTAATTTTCATCAAACACTCACTGATATAATAGTCTCATTTTTCTGCTTTTATTAATTCATTATGAAGATAAATGCCATGCAAACCAGAAAGTGATAGTGCACTGACTTGGATAATCAATTTCAAAGACCATTAACTTTTTAGGTAGCTTTGAGTCATACACATCTCATACAAAAAAATAATTGTGAATGTTATATGAGAACAGGCATAGAGGAAGGAAAGAGGCAGTGCACATGACATGTTGCAAACATCGTATTAATGTTGTTATGAGGGATGTGATAATGTATAAAGGTGGGCTGTTACTCATCCCTTAGTTTACGGTATGCCTACACAATCTGTGACAGCTAAATGTTTAAAGGGGGCCTTAACAAAAAACATGGGGGGGGGGCGGCATCCATGGAAAGAGTATTTTTGGTAGTGTGAGCAATGTGAAAGTGATTGCTATTTTTTGCCTCCATCATATTTTACCAATCAATCAATCAGAAGATATTTGATATAGCGCCTTTTCCTTGTGGTTACAAAGCGCTGCACACACCAGTTCACAATGTTTGGGCCACTTATAACAAAAAGGAAGTCACATCTCAGAGATCAGTTAAGTACAGTAGGCTGGTAATAAAGTCATCTTTAGCAGAATAGATGTGACTTTAGTAATTTCTTAAAGTACCTACATCTTAAAAATCTTATTCGGGAGTATTTATGAGGTTCTTTGTAACAAAACAAAATGAAAAATTAAATGCTTCTCATTTTGTTTATTGTAATGTTTGATTTTTTGTGTGTTTGATCAAAGCACTATGTATAGGAAGTCCCTGAAATGTAACTGAACCAATTTAGGCAATGCAGCATCTTTCCCTCACAGATAACAAAAAATGCAATAATTACATGATGAAATGAGATGCATGAGATTTTCAATCTTCGAATAGTCTGATTGATTTACAATGCATGGGACAAATACTATGTTAATCATGACAAGAATAACTTCAATTAGGCTGTATTCCTAGCCTCATCTGTATCAGGATCGAGGGAGGAATGTACTTTTTGAGCAGACGTTTCCTCTCATAGTGGATATTTCCTCTCAGAGTCTATGATAATAAGCTTGATGACAAATGACATGATCACAACCAACCAAGCAAGGTTAAAGACGTAGAAACCTTCTGCAACTATTCCCTTGAGAACCTCTAATAACTCATAAGCTATTTATGTAATTCCAGATATCAGTTGATAGAGTTGGCAAGTCCCTTTATACCATTTGTCCTTATAAAGTTATCACTCTTTATAATGTGATCATTATGGGAACATACAGCCAAAAAGGTTAAATCCTAAAAGATACCAGTGATTTTTTTAATCACTTTTTTCAATTATATTTTACCTGACCTACATTCTTTTTGTGCACTTAAAAATACCAACATGGTCATAAGGATGTACTCCAATCACCTGACAATTAAAGGCTCCATGAAACTTCATCATTTTAAAGTGTACAATTATTCACAATGCAAGAATCAATTGTCCATTGACTCCATTTTGATGTATTTTAGTGTCTGGTTACTTTAAAACTTAAGCTCTGACACAGTACCGGTGAAAAGAGAACATGATGAATGTGACATGCTGAGCTTTAATTGATAACTATCATGAAAATACCAAGTATTTCGGAACATTTCCTACTAAATCGTATCGAGATAACATCATCAGTTATTGCACTTTCAGAAAAGAAAAAAAGGGTTGTTCAAAAAAGGTTGGACATGTGTGAGCACAGATCCATGAAGACCTTTCATGAACCTCGAAACTTTCTATGTAGGGTAGAGGTAAAGAAGCACTGTGATTGGCTGTTTAGCCAATGACATCATTCATACTAATGAATATGCAGCAGTAGAGTGTGTGTGTGTGTGTGTGTGGGAGTATGTGTGTATGCAAGAGGGTGACTGAGAGAGCGAGTGTGAGAGGGAACTCACTCTGCTCAGAAGTGCAAATGATTACTCGGCTGGTTTTGCTATATCCTAGCATCATCACAGGAATCTAGGGGATGTCTTCAAATCTTCCCATGTTGTGAAGGTCTTGTCTTCAAAGTTGCTTTGTCGGATGTTCAATAGAGAATATTCCTCCACAGGAAAGGACAACATCAAAGAGGGAAGGAAACATTTCTCTAAGGGATCAAACTGGTCAATTACTCTGCATTTTCTCAACTGCACATACAAAGAAAGTGGAGGCCAACGCAGCATTTCATAATTGAAATATCTGTAATAATAAACTTGTATGCAATATTCTTGATCGAGACTGCAAAGAAAATGGTTATCACATCACTCAACCTCTCCCCTGATGGGTAGAACTATCATCGACCCTGAGAAAAAGAAGAAGAATCTGCAAGACAGCTGTAGAGCTGGGATATTAATAGTTCCGTCATTCATGTGTTCGTCATTGGGAAACCTGCAGGGATTCTGAAACACAGTTCTGATAATCATTCATGAGTTGGGATATCTTCTCGAGCTAGCTACCTGACATTGATTATTAGCCTCCCATCCCAGCGGTCTCATCAGCAAGTCTCATCGTGGATTGTTAGAAAGCAGCAGGTAATCTTCTTCATCTATATTTAAACAAACTGTCAAGAACTAATCATGTTCTTCTCTTTCTGGAATTTCATTTTTACATGACTTGTGATATTTGTGGAATCTGGAATGTTCATCTGACTTTACTTTTCATGTGGAGATAATTTGGACATGGGGTAAATATTTGTATACATTGATTCCCTAGTAAATACAGAGTATCTCCAAACATAAATGTGGATAATATTCAACTTGATCAATAACACTATCCAGATAGCAATCTAAGGTTAATTTCAATTATAAGATGCTTTGTGTCAACTACTAAAATGTGGGTAGATAACAATTTTAACCCTACAGAGCCGGTAAATTTAGAAAAGAATTCAAAGATACAAATGAAATTTACACCAAATGGTCATGGTTATGAATATTATTTGTCAAACGGTTGAAAATATATCACAGCTGTGTAATCATGAGAATAGAAAAATACAGAGGGCCTATAGTTCTCGTTCCAAACAATGATCATGAAAGCCCTGAATGTGGTTTCTAGTAACATTTTGTTACTTTGATACATTTTGATATTCAAAACAACCACACTTCTGTCTGTATGATAAACTTTTCTGAATTAGTTACAAGCCAGTTTTTCTTGAAATACAGTTCCATCATCGAAAATCACTAAATTCCAATAAACAGTGTAGTGCTGATACTGATATTTGCCCTATGTTCAGACTGCAAGAATTGATCACATAGCCATGCAAGTTTCGTATGGCCATACAATCTGTAACTAATTTTTTCCCCAAGTCTGAATATCATATAGCCAAAACGTACGTTTAAGCATCATTTCAAATGAAAACTCGATGAAGAACCAGCTTCCCGCTCTATTCTGAACGTTGTATCATGCAAAAACTATATAATTAGGAGGGGCTTATCATGAGCGCGCAGTGATAACCGACCGGCTGTCATGCAAACTGACCTCATCAAAGATTGTTTCTTTATAAGATGTTGTGTCCGCTTTTTTAATTATAAGACGATTCTTTATACAACGTTTTTTTTTACGAGTATCATATAAATTCTTGAAGTGTGAACAGGCAATTAGAAGTAACATCATAAAACAAGATAGAGCTGTTTGACCACTCAAGGCTGATACCACACTCTGTAACAAACATGACTGCACCAGTCTTCTAATTTAACAGACGTTATAAATGATGCAGCTGCAACTATTAAATACCCTGGTAATAGTTGTAATGATACTTGTGACAGCTGGCTTTTCTATTATGTAATAAACTTGTCAAATTTAATATTAAACGTATCTGATCAAGATTGATGATTTCATCAGTCTATTTTCCAATACATGCAGATGTGCACTTGGCAAAGAATGTAGTCCATAAACTAATTAACATATTCCTTTTGGAAGATTGGAACCATCTTCAGTTGCAGTGAACCAACAAATCTTTGAACCCCTCCAACAAAAAGTTTTAAATTTTAACATAACTAGATAAGTAGTATCTGACTGCTGTAAATCATCTAAGGCCCAAGTGTTTTTCAGGACAAGTTTACTGGAATTATGAGCTTTGTAAACTGGCCCATGTGGAGAAGGGATATTTTCAGGATTTATAAGCTTTGTATTAAAGCTTGAAGATATATCTACTCATCCACAAATCTAAACAGCAGCTGCTAAAACACCTCCGATGCTTCACAGCATACCACTTTTATGCTTGCAGCATATTTGGGTTGAGTGTGGACTAAGGTATCCAAACCCAAGCTCAACCCTAAAAATGTGAACATTCTATCCTTCTATAATGCTCAGCATTGTTTCATGAAGCTATCGTTGTTGGTAATAGTTTAATGGCGTTCATTCAGTATTGAATATATATGCCATAAATATCTTCAATTTAATAAGAAAATCAGTTATACATAAGAAAACTGAGAATAAAGATTTGTAATGATATAATTAATTAATCAGTAACGCAATTTATTAGGAGTCTCTGGATGGTTTGCAACTTTGTGTTTCTGCTTTTTTTTATAGTTTAATCTGGTCAGCCCGGTTTCGATTGCATGGAAACTAGCTTTGCCCGATTTGACACAGGCTTCTCGGCTACTCGGCGTGCGTGCGCAGTGATCTTTTAATATTTGTAACGCACGGTGCGTTACAAGAAGCTATCACACACATCCAAGTTTATCTATCTATTGAAACACATGTATTGTAATACACAATGCTGGTGAACTTTGGATTTGTGACAGTTTCATGAAGCATTGCTATTTTTATCAGCATTGTGCAAAATTAACTTTTTTTTATCATAATCCCACCACTTTCTGATTTCCCCTGCTTTTTTTTATCACAAAGCAACTCTTAAACAAAGTATGTCTGTAAGACTAAATAGTTGGGAGATATTTAATTATCACTGATTGATAATAGCAGAATGTGAATACATTTTTGTCTTTACTTATGTTTGTATAATGTAATAAATATATCTGAATGTGATTTGCAGGTAATTGAGAAATGAACAACATAATACATATCACATGTCATGTGTGCTCCTTGGATTCATCATTGAAAAAATGTGAAAAAAAGTTTCTGATTTTCCTTGATATCTTGTAAAATATATTGTTCATCCTGGCCAATCCTGGCTATCTTGAATCATTAGTATTACTGAGGACAGAAGATCTTTAAAAGCTAAATCCCCTGAGGTAGAATTAGAGTTATCAGAAACAAACACAAGTTTCTGAGATTGGAAGCTTTTGGTTGGTATTAACCTAGTTTCTGCTTCAAAGGTTTCTTATAACCAAATGTTATCATTTCTACCTGCGAACGGCTCAAGCATTTCCATTAGAGTAACATTGAGCATTCACGCATAATGCTTATATTCCCCCTCAAAAGTGAGTAATTCCAGATTGCCAAGGAAGACAGTGAGATACATTGGACTCGATCAAGCCATACCTTATCATAGTCCGACACTGATCACTTTATCAAGCCATACCTTATCATCGTCCGACACTGATCACTTTATCAATTAAAGTACCCCTTAGAATGAGATACCACAGACCAGGGAGAGCATTCACACGTGGGAAATATACAGGAAATTGGTTTTAAAAAATTTATGAAGAATAAGTACCAGTACATGTGTTTGTAGTCAAGATCCGGATTCAGGACATAACATGAACTATCCAGGAACATAACATTGACTAAATAAACAGTGAAGCAGAAAAACATTATCACCTACTACTCATCACAAATCTGTATCTTATGTTCCTGAAATAACGTTGGCTATGGTGACAAACCCTGCAATGAATTTGAGCTTGATCTGCAGTTGTTAGATTTAACCTAGTAACATGGATAAGGTACATCACTTTAAAATGTTGTTCTATAAACTTGAGTCTACTTCTACATGAACTTTTGAACAGAATATATCAATGTACATATACTTGATTTGGGGGAAATTGCAATTATTCCCAATAATTATCCATTACAGCTGACCTTGACAAACAAATTACAATGTCTCCAAATAGGACCTGAACTTTACAGAGCTTTCATGGTCAATGTGTCTCTTACAGCAGGTTGATAATGAAAGTATTAAGAGCCCATTAAACACTGACAGGATACATGTCTCTCATCCTGACACACATGATTATACATTGACTGTACATACATCTTTGGAGCCAGAAGGGTGTTAACTCATTTGTTTTAACACAGTGTAAATGCCCTTCTGGGTCTAAGCAGATAAAGCATTTCCCAATTATAGAAGAATGCATACTATCTTTGGGAGGGCATACACGCACATCTAATAACCATGGTGCCTTTTACTGCTGGCTGGATTAATTAGCTTTCACTTTGTAAAACAGTATTCTCTCAAGAAAAATTCCTAATTCTTAATCATTTTATACTTTAAAAAAAAAAACACCATAAATCCTTTAAAGTTCTTATTAATATTTTGTCATGAGAAGTGTTAATCCAGAACATAGCCTGGAATACACGAGTTACATGGGAGGACAACTAACCATTTCTATACTGAAAATTCAATCTTAAAAATTCAGACGGGAAATACTTATAATTGAATCTTGGGGCCTCGGCCTCTGAATCCCTCAAAATGTATACACAACAGGATCTTCTAGTATACTACAAAATTAAAACAAAACATCCTTCAAACATCCATGTTAATATCTGAAACACACAACAGGGTCTTCTAGTATATACTACAAAATTAAAACAAAACATCCTTCAAACATCCATGTTGATATCTGAAACACACAACAGGGTCTTCTAATATACTACACAATTAAAACAAAACATCCTTCAAACATCCATGTTAATATCTGAAACACACAACAGGGTCTTCTAGTATATACTACAAAATTAAAACAAAACATCCTTCAAACATCCATGTTAATATCTGAAACACACAACAGGGTCTTCTAGTATACTACAAAATTAAAACAAAACATCCTTCAAACATCCATGTTAATATCTGAAACACACAACAGGGTCCTCTAGTATACTACAAAATTAAAACAAAACATCCTTCAAACATCCATGTTAATATCTGAAACACACAACAGGGTCTTCTAGTATACTACAAAATTAAAACAAAACATCCTTCAAACATCCATGTTAATATCTGAAACACACAACAGGTCTTCTAGTATACTACAAAATTAAAACAAAACATCCTTCAAACATCCATGTTAATATCTGAAACACACAACAGGTCTTCTAGTATACTACAAAATTAAAACAAAACATCCTTCAAACATCCATGTTAATATCTAAAACACACAACAGGGTCTTCTAATATACTACACAATTAAAACAAAACATCCTTCAAACATCCATGTTAATATCTGATTATATACCATGAATGGATGGAAGGTGAATTAGAGTTTCCGTGGCAACCCTGCTGAGATAGTAATGATATGTATCCTTCATAGGATGTTCTATATCTCCACATCATTCATCTCTCTCTCTCTCTCTCTCTCTCTCTCTCTCTCTCTCTCTCTCTCTCTCTCTCTTCATAGCATATGTACAATGCTGATAG